GAATACCGCCACCCTTTCCTCGTTGACGTTTGTTCTCATAAAGCATATATGTTTATTATAGCAAAAGATTACAGTTTTGTATTGAAATATTGCCCTATAACAGTATACTGCTTTTAAAACATAATCACTTTTATAAATCAAATCTTGTGACAAAATATTTACCTCTGAACATGTGAGAAAACTGGTTTCGATTAATAATTGAATTCAGAAATTTAGATAAGGTTTTGATTTAAGAGATTTGTATTTCTTAGAGACAGCTGGAGTCTAAATCCTGAATACTGAATTTGATACTTTGATACATTGTAGTAAAAACACATTTACATTTTCCTGTAATTCTTTAGAAGTTTTTAAAATTGCAAATAAAACTGGTTTATATTACACTCATGGTTTGAGAACCCCTCAGAGGTGCAAAACTTTAGCGCATTATAATCATCTCGTCATTATCCTCTTGTTAAAGATATATCCAACAATTTTTAAGCTACCATATGAAAAAAATAGGCTGATTTTCATATGTTTCTCTAAACATCTGAGGTTCATATTAAATTATAAACATGAGAAAAATGTTCTTCATAAGTAGATAACAACATTATCATAACGTGACTCGTAGGGGACTCAATATCAAGAAACCTATTCCACCGCTATCAAACAGACTTAGTACTCTTGGATTTCCCCAAAGCCTTTGACAAACAAGTTAACCACCTTATCATAAATGTATCAATCATGCTGTTAAATGCACCAAGTTGCATTAAGTAAAGTCCTTCCTGATTCTTAGAGGCCAATCTGTTGTAGTGTATGGCGAAAGGTCAAATGAAAATCAAGTAACACCCGGAGTCCCAAAGGGTTCTCTTCTATGACAATCTAGGACTTCTCTACATGTACGTTATGCCTGAAAATCTAATTTTACAGGTTAGGTTATTCCCTGACGTCGATGGACGATACTTTTGTTTATCTTGCTGTAAATAACTCACTGCTAAAAATCCTTAAACAAGATTCAAACAGATTACAAATATGGAAAACTTCATGGGGCATGGAGTCAAAATGTACTGTTCTAAATATCACTTGGTCACGAAATTCTTAAATCTCAATGCCTGTCCCATGGCCAAATTCTAGAAACAGTCAAAGTTGCCAAATACCTTGTTGCAATAAGCATATAAACTGAAGCTACCTGGACACTCAACTTTATTAAACGCAAAATACCATGCAAAATCCCAAAGTATTCGAATTAAAGCTTGCAAAGCTTTACTCAGGCTTCAGCTTAAAATGCTAGCTCTATGGAAATCTCACATACACTATAATATACATTGTACACTAAATTGAAATATTATATATATCGCCATGCAGCAGGTCGTGCAGCACGTCGTGTAAATCAGAACAACACCATATACAGCAATATCACAAACCTGTTGGCTCACACTGAAATCTGGTGCCTGACTCATTATGTAGCACGTCGTGTAAATCAGAACAACACCATATACAGCAATATCACAAACCTGTTGGCTCACACTGAAATCTGATGCCTGACTCATTATGTTTAAAAAATAGTGCACGGGCTGGTTGATATAGTAACCTCATATATTGAACCCCTTAAATCGACAAACACGACTTACGAATCTTCATTTATTTTCCTACATTTTTAAATATAAAAAACAATATTCGGGTTTTTTCATTAAAGGTCGTTGTTGTGCGGTTTTAGCAGTGATATTATGCCATTTCTTCCACCAGGAACAACACATGAAGATATTTAAAATGATTAATTATTTGTTAATGGGAAGTTTTGTAAATATGCAGCTATTACAAATTAATTAGCCTTAACATACATCAGGCTATTAAGTATTCATGCATATCAGAAGGGGTTATCTGCTAAAACCGTGCCTTGTACACACCTCCATCTCCATCACGTGTCAGATAAGTCGCGTGCTTTAAATAACGGCATACCCGCGAATCTTTTATGATTTATGATTTATTGATCTCTTCTATTTTCGTAAATTTAAAATACTTTTCGTCTCGTTTAACATCATTATATGTGGTGGTTGGTCCATCTATCCGATTCTGAAGAAGGTTTGAGTGATCTATCAGTGCGCGGTCCGCGAGCTCACATTTTCTCCAGCAAAAAGGCGAATGTATTAAAATATAATCAATGCCGTAAAATGAAACTTTATAAGATAAATATTAGGTAGTCTAACTAGACAAAACTTTTTTGATATATTAGGTTAAGACGCGAACATATAAACAATACGCGAGGGGTAGTTGCCTAAGCTATATACTACAGTATAGTATACTGTATGTTAGTTTGGACAAATATTTTATATTTTAAATTTTTGAGTCAGTGCACAGCCATTGTATAAAGTGTACATAACCTATTTTTAAGTGTTTATTTTTAAAAGTGGCCCTAATAAGTGGCCGTGAAACGGTGCTATTATGAAGTTTATTTATTTATTTATTTTGTAATTTTATTGCTATGTAATTTTAATTGAATAATTTCTTAAATAGGCTGTGCACTAGACTATTTTTACCATACAGTCTCATGGTTATTATCAAAATTGGGAGGTGCTGGCTACAGATTACCCATAATGTCAAAAAAGACTCCATATTGTATATATCCCCTTGCCCCCCGCCCCGTGTTATTTATTATCTATCTTTTTTTTTATCCCTGTATATATAAACTAGTATTCTTAATACTAGTAAACGTGAACCCGTGCCCCCATATGGAGCAATACGTTTATCACGGGTTCACTCAAGCATGAGATTTTCTTAAATATGTTACATAAAGACTATCTCATCACATTATGGGTAACCAAGTTATTATTATTAGCCATATTTGGGACTTAGATTTTTTCTTATTCTTCTATGAATTGTTTAAGTAATAGAAGATTAATTATTATGTGTGATATCTAGATGCATAATAATTTATAGACAATGAGACAGTGATAAATAGATAAGGCCGTTTCCACCACATTTTAACTATCATATTTGTTTTAATTTTGAAATAAAGTTGGTAAAAACACGTATACATTGGATGCAACGGGCACCTGCTAAATCTCTATCACGTTCGCGCGACAAACTTGTCGATATAGGTCAATCCGAAAATTAAGTAAATTTGCAAATTATCACAAAACCGGATTGACCTCCTTATTTTGTAAACAGAGAATTTTCGGCCAATGAGAACAAAGGAGGCAATCCTCTCTAAACCAATCAAAATTAACTTTATAAAGCGGGTGTTCGGTAGAACTTACAAAAACTACAAAATTTAAAACAAACTCTGCTAATTACAAACATGTAATTTATTATATGCATACCAATGTATACGGTTTATAACATTTAAATAGAAACCAACAGTCAGCCCACAATGAATTGGTCAGAAAACGTTCCTGACATGCCTTCTTCGCAAGTCTGCGAACTCTACAAAATAGGTAATATTTTAAAATTTTTTAGTTATACTAAATATTAGATAGACCTGTTATAAAAGACGGTAACTTCTATAAACGTCTTGGCCAATTTTAAAATAAGTGCTTTTTAATAATTTAATTTTAGAAGTCTTAATCTTAGTATGGGATTGCCCCATCTTCCTCCCATGGCAGAGGTTGTACGTAGTGACTACCCTGTCATGGGGGATATGGTATGCACATAAACACATGTACGGATATAACAATAAGTAATTAAACATCAGCTCCCCCTTTTTAAAAGGTTATAAATGAAGTATATGCTCGCCCATATGGTCTCTTTCCGGTGGCGAGGGTAAACAAACCCAAACACACACACACACAAACATGTAATTAATAATATGCATCCCAATGTATACGGTTTATAACATTTAAATAGAAACCAACATAAATAACAGTCAGCCCACAATGAATTGGTCAGAAAACGTTCCTGACATGCCTTCTTCGCAAGTATGCGAACTCTACAATTATAGGTAATATTTTTAAATTTTTTAGTTATACTAAATATTAGATAGACCTGTTATAAAAGACGGTAACTTCTATAAACGTCTTGGCCAATTTTAAAATAAGTGCTTTTTAATAATTCAATTTTAGAATTCTTAATCTTAGTATGGGATTGCCCCATCTTCCTCCCATGGCAGAGGTTGTACGTAGAGACTACCCTGTCATGGGGGATATGGTATGCACATAAACACATGTACGGATATAACAATAAGTAATTAAACATCAGCTCCCCCCTTTTTAAAAGGTTATAAATGAAGTATATGCTCGCCCATATGGTCTCTTTCCGGTGGCGAGGGTAAACAAACCCACACACACACACACAAAATCTTTTATGAATGAATTGCCTTCTTAGGATGAGGTCGTTCAAAAAATTACGTTTCCATAAAATTAAAATATAAGTTTTCGTAATTTTTTTCTGAAATATCATTAATATGTAACATTCAAGAAAAAGAATCAAACATCTGCTGTCATCTAAGACAGGGATATATTGCTCTCGAGTAATTATTAAGCTGAAACTCGACAGAGCCTGGTTGGCGCCTTATACAGTTACCCTTATTCAGTATCGGCAGCTTGTGTAAGATAAGTATTCTAGCATATCAGACAAAATTATCTACTGTTTACACCAGTACGTGTTTGAAATTATATGCTTTCATTTTAATGATAAATAACGAGGAAGACTGTACTTTTCTTTTTAAATATTGGATATACTTTTAGTTAATGTTTGGTATTTAAATCTTATATCTATATTTTATCATTTTTAGTGGAAACACGACATAACCTCTTTACCGCCGTAAACAGTTACCCTAGCTTAAGCAAGATATTCCGGTCTGTACCGGCAGTTTTACACTTTACAGTTTTGAACATATCCATTTGTAGGAGATAAAAGACCCATGGGAATATATTTAAAATAATTCAAGTGTTGGGGTTAGTTGTGAAAAGCAGAAAATAATCTGTATAAAAATTTAGTACTTTAGAACCATCTATGACAATTCCTGTGTACGGTACATGATGGGAATTAGATATTTCAAACTATGCACTTTTAGTGACGTCACAACTACAGTACACACGGAAGTGAATTTTATCAAACTAAAAAGGTAATTGCAATTAAATTCTTATCGTGATACAAGTTGGTGCCATAATTCCTTCTAGGGCAACACTAGATTTAAAAAAAAAAAATGGTTATAAACAGGAGTACAAGTAAAAGATGCGGAAGCAGATTTATCATAAGAAATTAATAGAAAAGATGGTTATTTTACAGAATAAAAACAAACATTTAGATCTATCCTGGTTGTACTAGATCTATCTACCGGGAATGTAAGCCTTATTAGGGTCACCATCATATAATACAGAAGAAATCTAGGATGAAATACTTCTTCACTGAAGAAGCTACCATTTTTTTTATAAGAATAACAATTTCCAAAAGAAATTTTAACTATTGTTATACATCAAAAGATAGTTCTGTAAATAAACAGGGCTTTCACTGGCTCAAATAAAATAAAAGCCAATATTATAATAGCCAAAAGTTCAGCGGACTATTCACGATTTAGCGATTAACAACATAAGCAGTTGATTAAATAAACATTACATATAAAACTTTTTCAGTTTTATAAGGATTCTCAAGTAAACTGATAGATTTGTGTATATTGAATTGATAACTACCTTTTTTACATTGAACCTCAACTTTAATTGTTATTATCAGGGTTCTCGGGGACGCTTATTTCGGCGTCCCGGTATGCATGTTTATTACAGCTGGACGCAAATATTTTAGAGCAAGGATTCCACGTACGCTTAATTTTGCCTGGGGACGCATAAACATTACCGATTGTTTACAACCAGAAATACACAAATGCGTCAGCGCGTGTCAGTCTATAGGTAGGCGGTCCTATGCACACCAACCCGTGAAGCGATTAGCCAATCAGCGAAAACGCTTACGATCATTATCACGCAATAGTGATCAGACTAATGTACATGTAATTACCAGATATAACACGAGGTGATAATTTTATATCTTTGATCAACAGTTGATTGGAAATTAGCAATTTTACCGACAAAAGGATAAAATTATCGACTATTTACGCCGCAAGTTTAAAGACTGTTTTCTCAAATTACAAATGAGTGTAATTTTGAATGATTGTCGAATATTTTCGGCATTTTCTAGGCACAATTTTGCTTTAGTTTTATTCTTGCAAAAACTTTCGATAAGACTATTAAGAATTTAAGATATTGTGCCGAAATGCCAGGACAACAAACCAAAATACACATACGCTTTTCTTTGATATTTAGATTCTATCCGAAAATTGATCCCGAACATCGGCGATTTCACGTTCGCCAGAAACCCTAAAATTTCGCAAAAATTCTCGGTTTCCAAGCCAAACATGCGAATGAATTGTTCCTTTATTATTTAATCAACATTAAATCTTTAAATATCGATCTTCAATTTGCCCCCTTTTGAAGATATTTGCTAAAATAATTGTCGATCGGATGAATCTCTTACACACTGTTTGAAGCTGTACACGATTTTCCTATTCATTCCGCTAAACGCTGCCTATATACATTTACGTTTTTTTACAGATATAAACTTTTTGTCTTTAGAGTGAACTTATTTAACCAGAATAAAATTTGATATGGTATAAAAGTGGGAAAAAAACCGATTTCCATGTGTTGATGCATTATAATGAAATAATTTCATAATAAATATCAACAACAAAACAATAATTATACTATGTAGTTCAGAGTTTCTTTTGAATAACTATAAACTTTGGAAGTCTCTTGAAGATTCAAAATATCAGCAATGCTATTGTGAGCATTGAATGACTAATCTGTAAACATATTAATTGCGACGCGCTTTTGGACTCCAACTTTTTCAGGGTTGGGAGTCCATGGACTCCATGTTTTAAAGTCCTAGTGAGAACCCTGTATTATAGAACAGAATAAAAATGTTATATAGTATTGTGTATAACAACAATATTAAAGATTCATTATAACTTTACATAATGCTGCTGTAATGCAGACAATTTCTTTTGTTTGTTCTAATCAAATTTTGTCAGCTACACATGTATAACCACTGTCAATTTCCACATTTCATAGTAGCCTATAGAACTTATTCACAGAATGCAGCCTTTTTTCTGAATAACTTACTGAAAAATGTCATCATCACCAATGTAATACAAATTTTCTGCCATAATAGTAAAGATTTTTAAACAGAACATAGCTTATTTTCACCTTTAAATAAATATCAAAAATCACGAAAATATGTGACAATCGTTTTTTTCCCTTTTTTCTGAAGAAATATTCACAATTTTGGTTGTTGAGCAAATAGTTGTTTAGAAGTTAATACTTTTTAAATATTTTATCATTGTTTTCCACTGGTGATTTAGTCAAACAGCTTAAAACATAAAATTTCAAAATTTGCAATTACTACGGTAAATTTTGGGTTGGTCAATATCCAGTTCATCAATTTTAAGACGATTTTTGTGGCTAATTGACGAATATTTGATGGCTATAATAATGCTGGACAATATCTTTAAAGTACTTATACAATTTTACATCTCGCATGTATTTTTATCACCTCGGGCAATATAGTAATCAGCATGTGACCGATAAAAAGTTGACTCGCTGGTGTTAATTTGGGTCTACTGCATTCTTTATCGATTTTTACACTTTATATAAACACTGTTGAAAGTAAAACATAATTGCCAGATTTTGTAGCCAAAATGCAAAAATAATAGCCAATCTTATAAAATAATCGCAAATGGCGACTATGGCGACCGACAGTGTGAGCCCTGAATAAAGAATATGAGTGACAGCCATCTTTGTTTTTAAGTACTTAATACCAGGAATGACTTTTAAACATTCAATAAAAAGTTAAAAACATGTGTAAGTGGTCCATTAATACTGCTAATGATACTAAAACTCTATTCAATATTTATCAATTGTATCATAGTTTGGAGAACTTTCTGTTGAAAATGTGTCAGGGTTAAGTCATATACATATACATGCACAGTGCGTTAACTGGAGTGCGAGTATTAGTTACCCGCACTCCAGAGCTTGCCCATTGATTGGCTCATTTTTGCTGGGGTTTACATATTGTGACGGCAGAGAAAGGGAAAGCGACAGAAATGTTATATTCAGATGTCCGTTCATTGGTTCATTTTTGCCGGGGTTTCATATTGTGACAACAGGGAACGTGCTTTTATGTTTGACTATGATACAAAAGAGAAAGAACACCAAAACACTCGGCAATCTGATTAATACTCGGAGGGCTACGCCCCCTCGTACAAATCAGATAGCCTCGTGTTTCGGTGCTCTTTCTATTACTTATCACACAGTAAAAGGGTAACAATTTGATAAGCATTTGCACACACATTCAAAATGTCATGTTGGGTCCAAATAGTTAGCAATAGTACAGGTTTTTATGCGTAAAACACATTTATGTGAATAGGGTTATTAAAACTTATATATTTTGTATGAAATTAATGTGAAAGACACTTGCATAAACAAAAGAAATTTTTTTATGTAAGTATTTTTTGTAATATCTGGACATTCCCGGTACAAAGTAACTCCCGTTATAAAGTACCTTGAGGATATCTTAAATATTTTTGAAAGTAAATGATTTAGATGCTGATCATCATGATGATTATTCGAATATATTAAATTATCACTTAACATGGTTGGATCGAAGAAAATAGACCAATTTTTTTTTTTAAATAATAAACAAAGATGTCATTCTAATATATATACACATCTTCCAAAAAAAACATTACAACTAGTTATTTAAGTCAGAGACATAGATAATTATCTATGTCTCTGTTTAAGTTATTCATTTTAAGTATGTTTTATGATAATTTTAAGGTGGGGCAAATCATCACTATAAATGTGCTGAAAATTGTCACTAAACTGGGGCAGTGTTATCAATTCAGGCTGTTAAAACTTTTTACAAAATTAGTACAATGCTTTTTTATTTTAGCTGTGACATAATTTGTCCCACATTTCACCAAAACACGCCTCCACATTTATCCTTATTTTCATGAAAATTTTGTAAAGGTATTTAAAAGTAAGATATTGTAATGATTATGTGAACAAAGACAGTAAATTTACACATTGCAAACGGTACTAACAATCCATGTAAATTACCAAAAAGAGGTAAAAATATACATGAATATCCCTGATTGTGTTAGTAACACAGTAGAAATATGGTGGTCAATACTGCAAAATCAGTAATTTATAGCACATAAGATATGAATTATTATTTAAATCTAGAATCTTTTTACCATTCTTCCACAGTCTTAGTAAGCTTTCCAAAGTTTTATCGTCTTAAAATATTTTGGCTCATCTGGAGGCATGCAGCTTTAAGTATTTGACAGAGGTATGTCAGTTTTGACAAATGTAAATTTCTGCCCAGTAAGTTTTGATAAATCAGGTTATGTAGATATCAACATATAAGTGCTGCAGCTGCAGGTGTATTAAAATGATTTTATCATTTAAATATTCAAGCAATCATTTATCGACTCAGGAGTGTACAACAATATTTCTGGCTGATCAATATTTTGTTTTTTTTTGTACAGATTTTACAGCACAGAATAAAAGAACATGGATTTAAGAAGAGTAAAAGATGAAGATAAACTCCAGTTGTGTAGGAAATATTACTTAGGTTAGTGTGATGGTATAGTTTTTTGTATGTGTTAATACATAGTTTATTCCAACATGCTTCACATTATTCCAACTTAAACAGACATGGCAGTCAAGTGCATAATCATTCAATAATGAATTATTATATGACACGGCATAAAAAAGATATTCTTTCATGTCATTTGACATCTTATAAATGTGGTGTCTAAAAACAAAACAATATATAATAAGAAGAATTCTCAGCTAAATTAAATATGTTAGAAATATAAACTTGGGTTATGAACAAAAATTTCTTAATTCTTATGATAACAAGATGGTATTGGTGACTTGGTTTAATGTACTTTGACTCTACAAGCCATTAAATTTGTAATAGACAGATCCAAACACAAAATAAACCTGGGTAATAATAAAAACAACTGTTAAGATTTATGAGAATAGTAAGGTGCACTTTCTAAGAAATGTTTCTAACTGGTTGAAAATGAGAATTATTTATGATTTCCATTTTGAATATTTCAGGTGGTTTTGCCATGCTTCCATTCTTGTGGTTTGTTAATTCTGTTTGGTTTTTCAAAGAAGCTTTCTTCAAACCTCCATATGAACAACAGAAGCAAATAAAAACATGTAAGATACAAGAATTAATTGGTTGCTTCTTTTCTTATATCTGGTATAAAAAATATATATAATATTAAGTAATTGAATATCATGTATATATTCAATTAATAGAATTTGAAGAAATTACTTTAACCCATTACTTCATGAGCATTTTATGAAAAATGGCTGTTTTCATTGAAAAGTCTCCCGTTACAAGTTCAAATTGCTGTAATACTATAAAAACTGCTTCAACACTAATCAAACTTGGCACAAATGTTGACTGGACCATTGCACTTGCAACAACATGCTCAGGCTTAAATTTTCTGTTACCATGGCAACGAGGGGACATCTCAAAATTGCCAAAAATCACTATTTTGCGTTGATTTTTTCCATCAAAATTGATTTCAATGTGCTGCACTTTCTCAATGGATTGAGATAGAGTCAAATGCTTTTCAGCGTTGGTTACACGTTACCTTATGATCAATCTGGGGTCATTTACAGCCTCTCACAAGTCCAAATTTTTTCTTGGCGATGAGGGGGACTCCGCCCCCCTTCAAACCCCCCAAACAGAAGGGGGCACATCCCCCTTCTGGCAACCCCCTGATGTATCTTTTGGTTGGGGGGCCGCGCCGAAAAAGAGGTCACTTTTTTTAACAACATTTCTCAAACAAAAACAAGTGTTTGGGGCCTAAATAAGGCATTTTTTCATCATTTGAGACAACAAAAAGGGGGGGGGGGTGAAAAAGGCGTGTATACGAAGTAATGGGTTAAAAATATTGAGAATTATATTATACATGTACTTTAACATGATGGTGTTAACATTCTGGAAATATGTCTAAGATGGCATTTGAAATAATTAGAAGAGTACTGTTTGAAAAATACTGTTTAAAACCCAGACTATTTGTATGTATATCATACAATGTTAGCAGAAGGACATTTATATACAATTACATGTAGAATATTGAAGAAAACTATCGGTTCCAGTTTGTTGTTTAATACTTCTGAAATTTTCAATTCTTTTTCCAGAATAATAAAAATGTGTTTTATCTTTATTTATTTCAGATGTGATAAGATCTATAATTGGTTCATTGATATGGATTTCTGTTATAGTGACATGGGTGACAATATTTCAGTTGAAGCGTGCCGAGTGGGGGGCTACAGCAGACTATATGTCATTTATCATTCCTAGAGGAGAACCATGATCATTATTGTTTGATGTATCTGTGCTAATATATTTGTGATATGTGGAGCTGGTACTCCTGGGGATCTTTCAAAACATCCATTTATGTACAAAATAATAACCATTGACCTTGAAATTAAGATTCACAAATTGTATCAGAAAGTTCTAATGAGTTTATAAGAGTTTACTTTACGAAGAATATTGTTGTGTTTTCTAATTTGTTGATTTATTTTATGATTTAGCTTAATACTAATTTTTACAGTAACATTTTCAAAACGTGTATCCCTCTGAAATAGATGTTATCCAGAACTCAGTAAATAACAGTTTTTTTTCCCCAAGGTAATCCCCTGGTACAAGCAAACTTTTACCCTTAAAGCTTCAAGGTGCACTTCAAGTCAAACTGTTGCACTTATTTTTGAAACTGTAACATTACTGTAAAATAAAAGTTTGTTATACCCACGGGTTAGCTGGGAAAACCCAAAATATTCTTCATTCCAGAGTAAGTCTATTTACTAAGGTGTAGTTGATGAAACTGCATACATGTAGTTTGATTTGAATTTATGTCCAGTAAGTACATTTAGATATTTGTCACAGTTCATTTAACTTCATTACTACAGTAAAAAGATCATTAACTAAGAAACATTGCTCTGTAATATAATGAGCAGGTATGCATTAGTATGTGTGAAGACAAGTATTGCTTTATGAATTAGAAATGTATAGACATAGTGGAGTATAAAATCTTTTATCCCATTACTTCTTTATTATTTTTGTTTGTTATTTGTAAATAGTTTGAATTTTTTTTAATTCTTTAATGGTATGACTTTATAAACACAATATGATACGTATTTTATTTCCAATCAGATACATTATGAATTTAAAAGCAACTTTTTTGTTTTCAGTTCAATGGCAACGCATAATTTACATTTGGTTGGTTTGTTTGTAATGAATATTGTTATGTGTATATCATCATACAGTAGCTTATAATGTTGCCAGTTATTTTATCCAACATTATTAAAATCTTCGTATGTTGTAAATGTTTCTATTTGAAATTCATTGTGCTTGAATAGTAAAGAAATTAAATTATAATAAAATGTGTTTTGTACATGCACGTTTTTTATTGTTATTTATTTTTGATTCTAACTTTGTGGAACAAGTCTGTTTCTATGTCAAACACTTTTTTTGTATTCTTAATGAGAAGTCAAAACCTGTCCAATAATTATAGTTTGTTGTGAATTTTTGTTTATTTTTCCTATCAATGGCACCTCTGGCTTGGTCAGTCACTTGATTTATGTGCTTATTGATAACTTCAGAAATATAATAAATATTGACCTTTTAGCTAGTGAATATAATTGTGTAAAAATTTATGTACTGAAAAAAAAATGCCTCAGACAATATTAACGTTTTTAGAACATGTCATATTCATCATTAAAAATGTCTATATCTGTTTTATTATAACATTTATAAAAAGCCTGTTTATGGATCATCTACCTCAAAGTACAATGCAAAGTAACTTATTTTTGATAAGTTTTTTCCATAATTTTCTTTCAAAGTCTAAGAACACAATTCCAAGTATCAATTTCTATGGAATATAATAATTTCTTGTGAAACAGTCGGGATTATTTACCATTTACACTTGTGCTATACAAACCTGTTTTAAACCCTCAATGTTAGACAGGCTGCATACTTTAAATGACATCATTCATGTGCGAATTTTATGAATGAATTATGCTCTTCGGACAACGTCATTTTGCTGTTATGAATGAAGTTGTCAATTCATACTCAGCTATAAGAAAAGAAGTGCAACATGAAAACATTAGTTGTCTTTCCAAATATGATTAATATTTAATATGCAAGGAAAAGAATCAACACAGACTGTTGTCACAGACTAGAATATCTAGCTTCTTAGCCGAAACACAGCAGAGCCTCATTACCATAGTAAACAGTTATACTTGAACTAGATATTCATGTTTGTACTGTTAGCTGGAGTAATATCCTTATAATATTTATTGGAAACAATAGGTGGCATAACTTGAATAAAATACTTTGATTTGTGACAATTTCTTGTCACAAGTTATCATAATCATAAAGATAGTTTAGATAAAACAAACATGTTTGGGAAAAATTCATGAATAAATCTCTACTTCAATTCAATTGAAACAAATTAGTAAATGGGCATTTATTGCCTTGTCTTTGACGTAGTATGATAGTATAATGCTTACTTTATTTCTTTCTTTTGGTAAGTCACATTGTTGGTGTTAATGTTATAAGGTAACTTTCCATATTTTTTTAATAGTAAGTAAAGTTTATTCTTGTAACATAGGCCTCTGGCCCAAAATACTTTCCATATTTACTGGGAAAGGAAGACCTCAAATACCACTTGTGTGCACTATTTCAAGCATAGGAGATCATCTGAGCAGGACTATCAACATCTTGTGAACTAGTGCTGGATAACATCTACACATTTTTATTGGTAAAAGATTAAGTTCTGGAGTAAGCCTATTTCTCAATCAACAAGTTGTAGACATCGGTTCCCTTCCTGCAATCTTGAGCATGTAAAACAGTTATCAGAACCCTAATATAGAGGGTTTCACACCATAATCTTGTACATACAAAGAACAAGTATTGGTATACAAGATATATGCCTCATGACATTTATCCAACATTTATAATATTGCTTAAAGCAGCACGCCTCCAGATTCCTGCTGATTTTCTTGAAAATGTATTAAAAAGTAAAATATTGTGACGTGCACAAAGAAAATACTTTATATAATGCAAACGGAACTTATAACCTAAAGCAAATTACCAAAAATAGGTAAAATATGCAAAAAAGCCCTTACTGCGTTAGTAACGCAGTAGAGATATGGTGATAAATACTGCAAAATCAGTCATGAATTGTACGAAGTATGTAAGTTTTTACTTAAAGCTTGATTTTTAAACTTTTCTTAAAATTATATTACATTTTTCTCAAGTTTGATTTTCTTGAAATATTTTTGTTCATCTGGAGGCATGCAGCTTTAATGTATATAACCTTTAGAGACATGGTAGTATTGTTTTAATACAGTTAATAATGGCACCGATTTATATCTTCTCTCTTCCCCTCGGCACATGCACGTCGTTGAGAAGGCACAGGGGATCCACAGATCATATAAGAACCAATGCTACTTGTAAGACGGCAAGTTCGAATGTTTGATACAGCTCAGGGTTACGTAAAACTTGGCTAGCATGAAGTTAACTGCCAGTGTCCTGACAAAAGCTGAAGGGCATGACCCTATAAAGTAGGCAGTGTCAACAAGGATCACTTACTAGGGTGTGTGAGCCCCTAATACAAATGACAGCTTATAGGGCAGGCCCTTTGCTTGGCACCAACAGCCCTTTTTTGGGCTACCTCCTTTCATTTTTGTCTCAGTTACTGTACATTTAGGTTCTTATTGACCGCAGTAGAGTGACCTACTTTTGGCTCAAAATTCACGGCGGTAAATTATCAGCTGCTTTTTATGCCTTAACAGGTGGATGGACCCTCATTAAACAGACTACATACATACATACTGATTTATATAATGGTACAACATCCTGTGTATCTTGATGTAGTTAGACGATGTAAGTCATCAATATTTATTTGAATTAATGTCGTAATTGAAGACTTGTTTCAACACATTAATTGTATAGTGTGATATATAAAGATAACACAAGGCATATTGCAAGCTCATGGGTATCTTTAATTATTGATGACATAATGATACATCAGGAATAATGCAAACACATCTAAATATGTATAAATTGATGATTCTTGTTCAATTAATTGTACTAGTTATTGTATATGTGTTTTATATATTTTTATTATCATATGAAGAATAAAATTAGAATTTGACATATATTAAATCTTTAATTTTGAAGACTACATATTCAAAATATCTAAAAATAAAGACAAACAGACAGACAACAATATCCCTCTTTTATTGGCAGGAGATAATTATGTCAGTAGTAAATTGTGTGTGGCAAGGTTCAACAAGCTTTGAGGTAAATCAATTATTTTATAAATGAAAACTGTCATCCATGACATTTAAGAAAGTACATGTATATTGTATAAAACATGCACTAAAAGCATGTAAATAAATATGAATGTAATGGTCAATGACTAAAAATGCCATCTTATTTGACTTAAAAAAACAACAATTGCATGCATTCCAAAATTCATAGGTTTTTTGTAATGTTAAAAGTCACACCAACACACTAGGGATATGGGTTTAAAGGTGGAAGAAAATAACAGGTGGCATCCGTGCTAAATTCTGGTAAAAATGGGTGTCTAAGAAGGACCACTTCTCTTGTGAAACTAGCTGGATGTTTATATTAAGGGGAGACCTCAGGTGCCATTATATGGCAGCCATTAACAGACAAAAGCAAGAACGTGAACAGACTAAAAGAATTGATCAAATGGCTGTTCCTAAACTAAGTTGAGTGGAATGTGGGTGTGTATAAACATATATTTGACTTGACTTTGAAAATATATATAAAAATAACAATCACCAAAAAATAATCTGCTTAAAATAATAATATATACAAAGAAATGTACAAGTTGATAAAGATTTATTGTCTCTGTAAACACTATTGATATTACCAAATTTCCAGAATAAAACAACAACAAAACAATGAAATTAAATAAATCAATATTTGACATTGTATCCTTGTTTTTAAGACATTAAAATACACTGTTACATTGATGAGTGTAGTAAAAAAAGTTGTATATGGCACCAAAAATAAAACCTACTCATCATTTAACAGCCCGTAATATGTACTTTAGGGCAATAACTGGTTTACTTCCATTTAAATTTAAAAGGACTTAACCCATTAATGCACTAAAGTGATGATGTGTTCTGTTAATACGGATAAAATATTAACTTTTCAATTATAATAGATAAACAAAAAACACAAAAAGTAATAACTGTACAAAAATAGACAAGATTCTTTTGAAATTACCATTGTTGTTAATTAAAATATAACACTTTGCTTCTGTCACAGATATTGTTAAGTTCTATGAAATATAGTTTGGATCCTTTGCAGCATATAAGCTGCTAAAATTGACCATCTCCTTTTTCGTTATTTTTTCCTTGTAAACACTTGTAAAAAATGCTCACAACTTTTGAGAATATATATTATATATACAATAGCACATAGATAAAACTAGTCTCTATCAGGAGAATTTTAGGGGTAAGCCATCTGTCCAAGGTTGGGTTTATCACAGAAACTTGAAATACAACCATCTTCATGGCTGAATACCACACACAAGGTTAGCAGGCAATGCTTTGTCTGAAATATGAATGAAAAAGAGCACGCTATTTTACTTCTATTCAATACTATTATTTTAAAACATAGTCTTTGAAACATTTTAATTTTGTCTCAGTCAACAGCTTTACTTTCAACAAAAAATATTAGAAATACTATATTTTTTCTCAATAAAAAGATATAATTTTATCAAAGAATATAAGAAACACTGCTATATTTTATCTCGGTAAACCCTTTGCATTGCTGGTGGCAACTGAATCAAACTATTTGACCAGTGAATGTCTGGGCACTTGGCACATCCGTGCTGTCTGATCATGGTCCCAGATCATCTGGCACATACATGCTGTCTGATCATGGTCCCTGATCATCTGGCACATCCATGCTGTTTGATCATGGTCCCTGATCATCTGGCATATCAATGCTGTTTGATCATGGTCCCTGATCACCTGGCACATCCATGCTGTCTGATCATGGTCCCAGATCACCTGGCATATCCATGCTGTCTGATCATGGTTCCAGATCACCTGGCATATCCATGCTGTATGATCATGGTCCCAGATCACCTGGCATATCCATGCTGTCTGATCATGGTCCCTGATCACCTGGCATATCCATGCTGTCTGATCATGGTCCCAGATCACCTGGCATATCCATGCTGTCTGATCATGGTCCCTGATCACCTGGCATATCCATGCTGTCTGATCATGGTCCCAGATCACCTGGCATATCCATGCTGTCTGATCATGGTCCCTGATCATCTGGCACATCCATGATGTCTGATCATAGTCCCAGATCACCTGGCATATCCATGCTGTATGATCATGGTCCCAGATCACCTGATATATCCATGCTGTCTGATCATGGTTCCTGATCACCTGGCATATCCATGATGTCTGATCATAGTCCCAGATCACCTGGTATATCCATGCTGTCTGTTCATGGTCCCATGATCACCTGGCATATCCATGCTGTCTGATCATGGTCCCTGATCATCTGATATATCCATGCTGTCTGATCATGGTCCCAGATCACCTGGCATATCCATGCTGTCTGATCATGGTCCCAGATCATCTGGCATATCCATGATGTCTGATCATAGTCCCTGATCATCTGGCATATCCATGCTGTCTGATCATGGTCCCAGATCACCTGGTATATCCATGATGTCTGATCATAGTCCCAGATCACCTGGTATATCCATGCTGTCTGATCATGGTCCCTGATCATCTGGCATATCCATGATGTCTGATCATGGTCCCAGATCACCTGGCATATCCATGCTGTCTGATCATGGTTCCTGATCACCTGGCATATCCATGCTGTCTGATCATGGTTCCAGATCACCTGGTATATCCATGATGTCTGATCATGGTCCCTGATCACCTGGCATTATTCATGATGTCTGATCATGGTCCCAGATCACCTGGCATATCCATGCTGTCTGATCATGGTCCCAGATCACCTGGCATATCCATGCTGTCTGATCATGGTCCCAGATCACCTGGTATATCCATGCTGTCTGATCATGGTTCCTGATCACCTGGCATATCCATGATGTCTGATCATAGTCCCTGATCACCTGGCATATCCATGATGTCTGATCATGGTCCCAGATCACCTGGCATATCCATGCTGTCTGATCATGGTCCCTGATCACCTGGCATATCCATGCTGTCTGATCATAGTCCCTGATCACCTGGCATATCCATGATGTCTGATCATGGTCCCAGATCACCTGGCATATCCATGCTGTCTGATCATGGTTCCTGATCACCTGGCATATCCATGCTGTCTGATCATGGTCCCTGATCACCTGGCATATCCATGCTGTCTGATCATAGTCCCTGATCACCTGGCATATCCATGATGTCTGATCATGGTCCCAGATCACCTGGCATATCCATGCTGTCTGATCATGGTCCCAGATCACCTGGCATTTCCATGCTGTCTGATCATGGTTCCTGATCATCTGGCATATCCATGATGTCTGATCATGGTCCCAGATCACCTGGCATATCCATGATGTCTGATCATGGTTCCAGATCACCTGGTATATCCATGATGTCTGATCATAGTCCAGATCACCTGGCACATCCATGCTGTCTGATCATGGTCCCTGATCACCTGGTATATCCATGATGTCTGATCATAGTCCCAGATCACCTGGCATATCCATGATGTCTGATCATGGTTCCAGATCACCTGGCATATCCATGATGTCTGATCATGGTCCCTGATCATCTGGCATATCCATGCTGTCTGATCATGGTCCCAGATCACCTGGTATATCCATGCTGTCTGATCATGGTCCCAGATCACCTGGTTTATCCATGCTGTCTGATCATGGTCCCTGATCACCTGGTATATCCATGCTGTCTGATCATAGTCCCAGATCACCTGGCATATCCATTCTGTATGATCATAGTCCCAGATCACCTGGTATATCCATGCTGTCTGATCATGGTCCCTGATCACCTGGCATATCCATTCTGTATGATCATGGTTCCAGATCACCTGGCATATCCATGCTGTCTGATCATTGATGAATGCAAGTGTTATCACAGATAAAGTGTTGTTCAATTACATATACATGTAGTTTTTGCAAGCTCTTCATCATATCCAGAAGCTATATCCTGATGTCTGATCATGGCCCAGATCCCTGGAAATTCCCCGTTGATAAATGGCCCCCGATCACTGGATTTCCATGTGTCTGATCATTTTTCCTGTCACCGGGCTTTTCCTGATGTCATAAGCCCAAAATCCCCCCAAAACAATTCTATCATTTTCCGATCACGGGATACCAGGGAAAAACATATGATCACCTGGAAATTTCCCTGCTGTTTCATGGCCCCCTCACCGGGGTAACCCAGAGTTAAGGAACCTAAAAAAAAAATTCCATGATGTTAAATTGTCCAGATCCCCCCTGGATATCCATGATGTCTGATATTTTTCCTGATCACTGGCATATCCATGCTGTCTTATTCCCAGTCACCTGGATACCCATGGTTGATATGGTCCCAGATACCGGGGTATCCTACATTAGCTATGAAGTAGCAATGGCACAATTTTCCATATACCAATATTTCTCATACAAAGAGGTAGCTCTGTTATTTACCAGGCATGCAGGCATAAGGCAGTTAAATGTAGACATTCAGATGATTATGTAAGAAACACTTTTTTCCAGTATCACATGAAAGCATTACTGATGTATTTTAAGATAGATAGGCAATAAAAAAATACACTTTTTAAAAATTTTACAAATAAATTAGATTTAAAATTTTGAATTAAGATACAAATCCATCAAAAAGTTTGTAAAACATTGCAACATTACTTTTAAGAAATCAAAATATACGGAAAAAAAATCTCACCAATTTGTTTTGGATATGGAAGTTGCAGTTCTTTCATAATTTTGATGAATTCCTCTTTTGGTTTTGATAATCTAGGGTTGAACTGTTTTTCCTCACCAACTGTGGACATAGTCTGACCTGTAAAAGTATGGCGGTTCAGTAAATTGATCATGTTACAGGACTTACTAACCAATGACAAGACAATGCTATTATAACATCCCTTACTTTACAGAGGGTAAAACATGAAAAAATTGTGACAAGTCACTTTTTATTGATAGTAATTTGATAAAATGCTAAGCATAATGTTAAATTTATATTAACTAAATTAAACATAATTCACTTATTTTTTTCATTTAATTTTCATATTTAAATTTAAGTAAACATGCAGCCCTTGTTGAAATATTCTTTTGGATACTCTGATACCTGAATTATTTAACATGCAAGTTTTGCCATATGCCATGTTTTGTCGAAGAATATATCAGAACAAAGTTATTGCTACTTTTAGCAAAGTCCAATAATTTTGATCATGTAAAGGTGATGGTAAAGTTCAGTTTAACCTACTTGAAGGTATTTATCAAAAGATTCTTATTTTCAAGTATGAATACAATACATACATTATTAAAGTTAAAGCTTATTTTAGCAAACATTGAGATTTTCTACTTTAAGGTCAAGGTCATTTAAGGGTCTAGGTCAAATTCCTTAAAATATGTACAAAATACTCTCATGTTTATTACTCCTGTCAATTTTGATTAAATTTGGTTGTGTAGTTTTGGAGAAGCACACACAATATTTTGTCTACAGACATCCAGACATTGAACATCCAGATGCCTCAAACCAGTATCCCCCCTGCAATTTACATTGTGCAGGGGTACATGTTTACAATATCAGCCCTATAGACTCTGCATTTTTTTTAAGTAAATCAATTAAGAATTAAATAATGGTGTAAACTTTCTACAATAAATATACCTGTGTAATCATGAGCCGGGTATACACGGAAGTTTGAAGGTAGACTGAGAATTTGTTGATGGACAGAGTTATACAGTGTGCCTGAGTTACCTGTAATAAAAAGTCAGTACTGTTTAACCTACCCATGTGACCATGTGTATTAAGCATGTATATCAAACAAGTTTCCATGTTTTCCCTCATTCCCCCCACACACATGAAGTATTCACTTATAAAGTTCTAGTTAGTACTCTAACTGAAAAATTGTATAAAATATTTATCATTTTCATAATAAATCTGAGCAAAGAAAATAACAAAAAGTAATTTGGCAGAGGAGACTATGAGCACTTAACTTTGCAAGACTTAATTAATACCAAAACAGAAACTTCCAAATAAAATGCATATCTGTTATCAAAAAATTGATTAATTTACATTGTAGAGTTAAATTTTCTAATTACATGAACCAACTGGCATATTTATTGATTTCTAATTTATCTTTATGTCCTTTAAATCTCATATTTATGCCCTGACAGTTCATGTCAAAATATTATATACAATGTAAACCAATTGAGCTCAAAAGTCCAGAAGTGCTCTCTATACATATTCTGACAGAAAAAAAGCTGTTCATATAGCTACTTTACCTTGTTGGAAATCTGTCCTTCCACATCCCCTTATGAGTAAAGCATCTCCTGTAAAAACCATTTCTTTCTCATGCCATACAAATGACATACATCCTGTAAATGATATAGTATGTTAACAGTGTTTCTTTCCATAGTCTTTATTTCAACATAATCCTTTAATAAGGTGTACCACCAAATTTATAACAAACACGTGTAGTATTTGTTTCAATTTTTATGTAAACAAGTAAATTTTTTATTCATTTTTATTTACTTTCCCATATTTAATGAAATTATGTAGGTATGGAGCAGATATTTTATTTAATGAAATTGAAAATTACATGAGTTAATATTGCCCTGTGTCAGTGTAAACCATGTCAACACACTATTTCTTGTTTCTGCATAAATGCAGATACAAAATGAAAATTTATCTTTATTACATGCTTTTCAGTGGACAGTTAAATTATAAAATATAAATGCAGATGATAAGAATATAACTTAATAAGTGAAAATATTGTTAGATATATATGCCATCATGAGTAAAATGACCTTTAATATGTGAAGCACATGAATATCTCCAAATATCATTTTAGAACTGTAAAATTAGTTATAAATGTTTACAGAATTATTTTTCAACAAGAACAATGTGACATAATGATTTGAGGATGTCATTAATGTTATTTGGCAAAAATCATTAAATATGTCTTTAAACCCATACAAAAATCATGATATAAATTGAAAATTTCTTTGTTTTGCATGTAAGATCGAATTATATTTCACTCGTGAACACAAGCTCACATATTTTCATCTGTTTACTCTGTGAAATATATTTAAATCTTACATCCACAACAAATAAATATCCCCTGTATCTTGCAACAGCATGTAATTTTTACTGATATACTGACATAACAATGTCATTAATGTGTCATATAGATATATAATGAAAGATAATATATAAATAGTTACTATGTTAATAGTACATGCCATAGGTTTTGTATTTTTAAGTTGATTAGAGTGAACACAGATTATGATAGAAAGTGATGTTACCATTTGTATGACCTGGTGTACTTCTTGCCTCCAACTTAAACTTTCCAAACTCTATTTTATCTCCTTCATTCAAATGAATATCAGCTTTCGCCTCACCAGCTTTACTTATCACACTTTGACAATCTTTGAACTTTTCCTTCAGTTTACCTGTTCCAGTGATGTGGTCAGCATGTACATGGGTGTTCACTGAAACATTAATTGTCTATTGTAAATTATATATATATCACGAGTATATTGTTTATCTTAGTCAACAAACCGTTATACTAGAAAATAATGATCAACAATAACAGTACTGTATATTTAACAGTTAAATAGATTTAGTGTAATTCACATTTTTTGTGCAAATAAACACAAAAACAAGAGTGCAATGACAGCCAAGAAAAAAAACCAGCTAAATGGAAATATGAAAACAATAACATTACTGCTGACAATGCAATGATTTTTTAACTTAAACATTCTCATTCTCTTGGTTTGGTTTGGTAGTTTATAGCTAATGATTCTGTTTCAGAATGCACTTGGTCCAAGGTTATAAAGAAATTTTCTAAGCTTAACCTCAGATCTCAGGTATTTGATTGGTCAGAAACAGCCACAGAATGTTCACTTACCAATAAAAATCTTGAGATTTGAGGAAAAACTTAAAAAAAAGTTTTATAAACTCTAGGCCGGGAGTGCAAGCTTCAAATATTATGAAACTTCAAAACCTATTTCACAACAAAGAGTTCTTCAATGACAAGATAAATTTAACAAGAGGGCCAAGATGGCCCTATATTGCTCACCTGACCCATCAAACTCAGCAGTTACTGACCAAATTTGATGCCAATTGAGTCAAAAATGTGACCACACGAGTGTTAACAAGGTTTTGCCATATTTGGGCATGGTGACCTATTTTTTGACCCCAGATGAACCATATTTGAACTTGACCTAGAAATCATCAAAACAAACTTTCAGTTGATGATGATTGAGGCAAAAATGTGACCACTAGAGCGTTAACCAGACAACGGACATTCAACGACCCTAAAGGCTCACCCTGAGCAAGCTCAAAAAAGCACTTTACAAAAGTGCTTTATACGTGTATAAAAGTACAGATCAAACACATTTGAACTCATCAAAACATTTCGATAACAAAAATAATAATATACCTAATCTGGTTTAATCTAACTGTTATATAAACATCCTATCTTTTCAACTTTTATCAATTTCAGGCATATAAATTGGACATTATATTCATGGATGATCATCAAGTAGCTAAATAAATAGTAACTAGTATTTGACATATTTTGCAATGTTTGACTGAATTCCAGTTACCCCTACTCTTACAAATATTATTTTCTGGTATGAAATTTGAATGCTATTCCATTGATTACTAACAGAAATAATAAATAAGCTGAACAAACTCTAGCCTGTTGACTGGTGGATTAATCTTTAACCCCATGAGCATCTTGTGAAAAATGGCTGTTTTCATTGAAAAGCCTCCTGTTACATGTTCAAACTGCTATGAAACTATGAATAATGATTCAATACTGATGAAACTTGGCACAAATGTTGACTGGACCATAGCCTCTGTAACAGCATGCTCAATCGTAAATTTGCTGTTAGGATGGCAACGGGGGGACGTCTCAAAATTGCGAAAAATCACTATTTTGCATTGTTTTTTCCCCATCAAAACTGATTTCAAAGTGCTGCAACTTCTAAATGAATTGACATAGAGTTAAAGGCTTTTCAAACCGCCTCCGTGGTCGAGGGGTTTGAGTCGATGACTTCTAATCCAGGTACCTCTCTGGCGTGGGTTCGATCCCCGGGAGATGCTTTGGTAGTTTAGCGCGGAGGAAGGTTGTCTAGTACTGGTGTAACTCTCCAGGAACGATGGTTAGGAAACTACCCGCCTATATGACTGAAATACTGTTGAAAAAGGCGTAAAATGAAACAAACAAACAAACAAACAAAGGCTTTTCAGCGTAGGTTACTAGTTACCCTAAGATCAACCTGAGGCCATTTTTAGCCTGTCATATGTCCAAAATTTTCTTGGCGATGAGGGGGACTACCGCCCCCCTTCAAACCCCCCCCCCCAACAGAAGGGGGCACATCCCTCCTGGCAAACCCCTGATGTACCATTTTGATGGGGGCAGTGTCGAAAAAAGTGGTCACTTTATTAAACAACATTTCTCAAATGAAAAACAGTGTTTGGGGCCTAAATAGGGCATTTTTTTACTGTTTGAGGCCTCAAAAAAAGGGGGGGGCCAAAAAACCGTCAAAACACGTCTATATAAGGTAAAAGGTTAAAGTACTCTGATACTGAAATCACTCACAACAATAATGGTCAGTTACAAATTTAAAGCAAATAAATTCAGGAAATGACAAAGGAAAATCCTGTTTAACATCAACAAGAAAATATTAATTACCTAAAAAAATTGTAAGTACAAGTCATCAAATAATAAATGATAAAAACTTTATTTGAATGATCAAAATTTGAATTTAATAAAGTTAATATGTCAGTTCAAATCTCAACTGAAATAGTTTCATTTAAAGTTTCAGAACATAGTCTTAAAGCATTCTTTATAACAGCATTCTTCAGAATTTACTCTCATCCCATCTTGCCATATTTGATTCTTGATATTTTTATTTGTTTGTTTTAAAACAAAAATCATTTTGACCTACATCATCCTTCAAACATTTTCATGACTTATTTATATAGCATTTATATACTACAAATGCCATGGTGGCTGTTAGTACTTTAAGGTATCTCTTTCTGATGGTGTAACCGACTTTTACTCTAATCTGTTCCCAAAATAATCCAAGGCTATCATGGTCTGTCTTTTGACTTCTATATCCATCAAAACAAGTTTAACCACACACTATCACAAATTACAGTTATGATGTATGCCCTATATTGTGAACTTTTCTTAAACTGCAGCCTATTTTACCTAACTTGAACTCAAACTGACTTCATTTCCTGACATCTTTGATCTTATTTTTATGAAAATGAAATCTCAACAACTATCAAGCCTAATAGAAATACCCCATTAACATGCCAATTTCAATTAAATCAATGAATGAAAACATGAATTTTCAAGTTCAATAACATAACATAATCTTATACAATCCAGTCTCTATATTGTGAACCCTAATCACAGCTGTTTTGATTCCTGATGAGCATTATCAACTGATAAAAATAATTTATGCTCCATAATGCCATTAATTGTAGAGTTGCTTGGCCAAGTGGTTAACAGGCCGGGTAAGTAATCTAAGGATCCTTAGCCCTGAAGGTTCAAACCCCATCAGGGGCAAGCCGTTGTTTCTTGAGCAAAAAAACTTTACACTCATTGCTTCAGTACTGGTTACTTCCAGGAACAGATTCGAGTGTGTTGATAAGATAATACCTTCCTTCATAATCAGATTAAAATAAATTCTGTATAAACTCATTGTAGGGCTAGTGGAGAATACAAGAGGTCATTGCTTTGCCTTCAACTGTCAAGTAATTCAACTCAGTTATCACCATAATTCTTTTCAACAATATTATAATTGTGTTAAACTATATTATAAAGAGATCACTTTCATATTGCTGTCATCATAAAGTTTTATTTATTTTTTTATTTCAATCTTTTAACAGTTGTCACTGTGTTGCATTTTTTTCTACAAGTTTTCAGTAAATTTTTAAGGCTAAACATGACATATATGACATGAAAAACAGTTTCAGTCAAATACAGGTACCAAATAATTCATTATTTTTCTTTTATCTGAATAAATTATTTTCTTAATAAGTACTGTTTTTTAACTTATTTCAGACATTTGGTTTAACTCAATTTGTGAAGTAACCTTCATACTCAGTTTTGAGTCATGCAGAGTCTGTAAAATAGTCATCACATGTGCATATATGTGCATGTAAACATGTAATATTATGGTGAATTTATCTTTTCACAAGTGACAGATCTGTCAGACAAATAACCTTGATATAATCATGTCTCCTTCACATATACAAATGTATGTCAAAATCTACTGACTTCTTTGTCAAGCATTTTGATGTATATCGCAATAGCCAATTTTTAGCAGTCACATTAAAGCACATTACTCTAAGAAAATAACATTTTAAGTACATCAAATTGTTTAAAGAAAAAAAACTATTTCAAACACTTAAAAATATTGATGCCTGACCATGTTGATGAACCTTAGGCTGAAGAAATCACAGTCCTGACATTACTATGAGCCCATTTCCTCTGTCCCCTAGTGAGCCCTATTCTGTAAAAGCAGAAGTTCATGTAAGGGAAAACATATGCGAGAAATATAGAAGTATATGAAAAAGGAGTAAGTATGACTTACCATAGTTTAAGTTCAAAAGATGGTGTAAACCAGGTAAAATTTTAAGTTTTATCTCTTACAACAAGTGATATAATTTCTGCAATCTATTGTCAGAATAAAGATACTTATTCTTAACTTTATCAACATTTGGGAATATTTTTGAGTGTTACAATCAAATATACAAATTTTATACACATGCACATATACATGTAATATACAATTTAACCTCCATTACATGAAACAGGTGCAACCTTTATAACAGTGACCTACTAACCAATTTAACTGATCAACAAAAATAGGTGTTCGTTCAACAATATCTCCTGTATTTCATGATTTATTTTTTATGAACCATGTTGTAGTGAATAAGAATCAAATATATAAGAAAAAGCCAGTTCTAATTTTATTACTTAATGAATTTTATGGAGATAATAATGTGCATAAAAGCACAAATAATCCATTAAAGAAATATTTCAAATCACAAAAAAAAATCCAAAAATAAAAATCACCACTTTGATGACAGGAAGTCAACAACACATTGTGGTTTTATAATAATCCTAATAGTATCTTTAAAAAAATATTTCCTTTAATGTACATTAAAATGTTGGTGTATCAACTTTGTTGAAGAATACTTCATTACAGGTTGAGCAATATATAATGCTGTCAGATAGAAAGCTGGATGTTATATACTAATAACTCTGATTTGTTCGTGACACAATATATATTATAAAACTAACAGGGGAAAAAATGATTGAAATGGTAACTTTTAGAATTACATCATATTTATTTGTGTTTCGTGAAATAAAATCTCTATTGGTTCAATTAATGTAAAGAGATGTCTTCAATATGATAGCCTGTTAAAGTCATATGTGCACATAATTCTTGTTATATTGGATAAAAAGTCAGATATACATTTGTATGAAATAATGGTTTACTTTGAATTCAATTCTTGTGTTGAAACTATTGAAACATTTGTATATACATGGATTAATATCAATAACTATATTAAGACAGACAACAAAATCTTTTCTGAGATCTCTACAAAAAAACACCATGCTCAAATCAAACATTGAAATTTTGATACAAACATAGAATTCAACTGCATTTTGTTTTCTACACAAACAAGTATAACTAAAAACTATAAATGTTTATCATGATAAAATCTATTATTGACTACAATATGGTTTAAATAATATTAGATAGTATGATGTTCATAAGAGTGATATTTTAGTGCTTTCATTAGAAACAATAAAGTTTATATGTAACTAATTTATACCAAACACATAGAGCATCATTTGCAAAGAGTTTCTTTTTTTAACAAACAGGTCTGCAAGTGAGTGGAGCAATATTTAAGCCTTTAAACCAATATCATTAAAATATTTTACTGCTTTCATTAGAAACAATAAAGTTTATATGAAACTAATTTATACCAAACACATAGAGCATCATTGGCAAAGAGTTTCTTTTTTTAACAAACAGGTCTGCAAGTGAGTGGAGCAAGCTTTAAACCAATATCATTAAAATATTCATTATAGTATCATATTAATTACATATTATAAATATCTGTTTGATTTCTTTGTATGTACATGTTTATAGGTCAGATTAAAACAATTGGCTCTTGAATGACACAGATGCTTTTAACTTTAAGAAACAAATAAACATCAATAATAATCATACACATTAACCAGTACTTAATTCAATATATGAAATTTTATTACACCAGTAAACAAATTATAAAAATATGAATGTATTGAATATAATCCTACATGTAAATTTTGGATATAATAATTCTAGTGGTGTCAGTGAAATAATCTTTATATATCTCCTGTGTTTAAGTTAATACAATGATTGGCTATATAGTGTGCTCAAATTTGGTACAAATTATACGTACCTCCATATCTTAAGTTTAAGACCCAAGTCTGTGATAAGCTTTGCATCTCTGTCCACTGTCTCTATAACTGGGTCTATTAGTATTGCCTCTTTTGTCTGCAGGTCAGCTAACAGGTATGTGTATGTGAATGATTTATACTCTATCAACTGGGGAAAAATATAGAATAGTGAAATTATCAAGAACACTGTGAAGTAATGATACATTAACATCATCATCAAGTATATCATATTGTGGCATTTTAACAAAAAGTAACCAATTTAATTTTAATCACCATATCTATTAGAACAACTATGCCCAGCAATACAGTATTATAGTTTAAGGTAAATATGTTTTGTTTCACTTATGTCAATATAGATCAAAGAACACTCAATCAAATGACAATTTATTTTGAATATTATTTTACACATAATATATTATATATATAAGCTGCGCCATATATTAAGACAGAAATAGATTTTTTTTTCTGTTATATTATTATTGTCTATAATAATAGAACAGTAAAAATATTGTTTTTATCTTTTTCTTTTTTTTTTAATATATTGATATTTTATTGCATAAATAACAAGGTTAAACACATTTTATGCTAAATCAATGCCACTTGCACCTTTGTATAGTACTCCCCACTGGTATTGTGTCTTTGCCCATTCCGATGTTATCTGAAAATTTGTTTCTTTACACACTGAATGCCATCAAATACTGTTTCCAACATTAAAGTGAAAGTGGGAGTGTTGCTTTTTGTGAATTTGATTTTTGAAATAAATTTCTGTCATTGATAGGAAAATCCAAAGCTGCCCGTGTGTTAAAAGACTTCTTTATTTTACCCCATATTTAAAGGTTAAACTTATATTTTCATGTTCCCACAAGTGAAGGTCTTCTGCTGAAACTGTAGTGACATCATTGTCTGTTATAAAAAAATTATACTGAAGCCAAAACGGGCCATCAATTAACATACCATGTCACCATATATAGTGCTCTTCTTTTAACCCTTTACCTCATATATATGCGAAACAATGACTTTCCACCCCCCCCCCCCTTTTTTTAGACCTGAAATAGTGAAAGAATGTCTTATTTGGGCTCCAAACACATGTTTTCGTTTGAGAAATGTTGCTAAAAAAGTGAGCAATTTTTTTCGGCGGCGCCCCCCATCCAAAAGATACATCAGGGATGCAACACAATTCAATAAAATAGTAAATACAAGTTCTTTTTATTTGTAAAATTTGATGGAAATAATAACAATGGTAGTCTACCATAGGGGACCATCCTACTGAAACAAAAGTTTGTTTATCCTCAAGGTACTTTATAGCGGGAGGTACTTTGTACCGGGAATGTCCAGATATTACAAACAATACCTACATAAAAATTTTCTTTTGTATGCAAGTGTTTTTCACATTAATTTCATACAAAATATATCCTGGTTGTACTATCTACCGGGAGTGTAAGCCTTATTAGGCCTGCCATCATATAATACAGAAAAAATCTTATATAAAATAGTTATTTTCTGTAGGGGGTACCATTTTTTGATGAAAATAACAATCATCCAAAAGAAATTTTAACTATACATCAAAAAGATAGTTCTGTTAATAACCTCATATGAGTGGCTGCCATTTTTGTTTTTAAGTACTTAATACCAGGAATGACTTTTAAGCAATCAATAAAAAGTTAAAAACATATGAAAATGGTCCATTACTGTTAATGATACTAAAGTTCTATGCAATATTTATCAGTTATCACACAGTAAAAGGGTAATAATTTGATAAGCATTTGCACACACATTCAAAATATCATGATGGGTCCAAATTGTTAGCAATATTACTGGTTTTTATACGTAAAACACATTTATGTGAATAGGGTTATTAAAACTTTGAATTTTCTTCAAAAAATGCTATATTTTGTATGAAATTAAGGTGAAAAACACTTGCATACAAAATAATTTTTTTTATGTAAGTATTGTTTGTAATATCTGGACATTCCCGGTACAAAGTACCTCCCGGTATAAAGTACCTTGAGGATAGCATTTTTTGAAGAACATTCAAAGTTTAATAACGTTTAACCCTGCCACTCATATGAGGTTATTAACAGAACTATCTTTTTGATGTATAGTTAAAAATTCTTTTGGATGATCGTTATTTTCATCAAAAAACGGTACCTCCTACAGAAAATAACTATCGATATATGATGGTGGGCCTAGTAAAGCCTCGGTCTCACTTACTCCCGGCAGAGCCCAGGACCATCCCGGTAAGTTACCGGGATGATCCGGGACGATCCGGGATGAAATTATTGTTGCGGTCACACTTACCCCGGCAGCACTACGGTAGTTCCCTACTATCCATCCAGGATGCGCTCCGGATCATCCAGGCAGAGCCCAGGTGAAGCTACGGTTCATGCCGGTGCTTCCCCGGTCGTTCCCGGATGACGCCGGAAGAGCCCCGGTTGACCACGGCAGAGCCCCGGTCGATCCAGGCAGAGCCCCGGCAGAGCCCAGGACGATCCAGGCAGAGCCCCGGTAGAACCCCGGTGGATTGAAAACGCCCGAAAATGATAACATTGATACATAATTTTTATTTAATATAATATCTATTGTTCCAGAATAGTAATTAATGATGATTTTCTAAAAAAATCCTAATGCCATACTGGATAGAAGGGAAATGGGAAGGCTTTTAATACAAGCAAGTTCAATCATCGCAAATTGTCCTTATTCTTTTGAAATGACCGGGCTTTGCCGGGGCTCTACCGGGATCAACCGTAGCTCTACCTTTATCCTCCGGGGCTCTGCCTGTAGTTACCGGGGCTCTGTCGGCATATACCGGGGCTCTACCGTCGCTCTACCGTAGCTCTACCGGCTATATCATACCCCGGATCATCCCCGGTTTGTGCCGGCAAAGCTACGGTGCTTTCCCGGTATAACCCCGGTCGTTCCCGGCAGAGTTAAGGATGAAGCCGGCAAAGCTATACCTTCCCGGATCATCCCGGACCACCCCGGTGATATATTTTATTCCATCCGGGGTCGAATGCCGGATGTTCCCGGATCATCCCGGATCATCCAGGACGTTGCCGGCAGAGTTACGGATGTACCCCGGTTGTTCCCGGTCGTACCCCGGTCGTTCCCGGATCACCCCGGACGTCTACCGGGGCTCTGCCGGGATGTAAGTGAGACTGTAGCTTAAGGCTTACACTAGGTAGATAGTACAATCAGGATAAATATTATTTAACGGACAAAATGTAACTAAGAAACGCTCCAGAACTGTATAATTATCTACCAATCAATCTATATTAGCAAACATATAACATAACACATATTATACCTGTCTAAATAGAAACTCTTGACGATTTGCAGAAGTTGACATCGTTCTTGTATCCAAGACTTGTTGTTGTCCTCGTTGCCGCACGCGCTGCCAATTCCTTTTGGAACAATTCAAACATGTAGCAAAATTTGTTATTTGTAATGGTCTATTGAGCATGTATCGATTAAAAATGGCATTTAACGAAGACATTGTATCTACTTACAGGATTAAAAGCCCTCTGTTGAAACGGTAGGCTACACTATAAATTATAAACAATGTACATGAGGATACGTTCATACTGCGCATGTCGGTCAAGGTCGTCGCACTAACAAACAACACGTAGGCTATGCTATCAAGAATGTTTCTGCTGAATAATATAGGAAACGTCAACGTGATAACAATATATGAAAGGTCGAGTATAAAGGATATTTTTAGAGCTGTAAACGTTAATATCAAATTTTAAACTTTTACGCAATCATCACCATTACAGTGGAAGTTTAAATTCATTTGCAATTAGATTTCGCGACGTCATATAATGACATATTTAAAAAAAAATACTTATAATGTAATGATCGACTGTGAACGCATTTCTGTATTATTAAATAAATCTTTGATTAAATCTTGTCAAAAGCTTTATGTATATACCGTAAGTACAAAGTAAACGGCCCTCAAATTGCAAAAATGCTGTTACAACTTCTAGATGATTCTTTAGTTTCATTGCGGATTTTTATGTAGATCTATTACTTTATAGGTTAACAGACTGTATACATTTTTATTTCAACCATGTATTAATCATGCATCTCTGCTGGTTTTCTAGCAGTTTCTGGACCCTTGTCGTTTTCTGGCTGTATATCATTTTCATCAGGGGAATTATATAGTCTATAAATTAATTTTACCATACAGTAGGCCTAGGCAATCTGAATCACATCATTTAATTTCTTTTCCCCCCACATCCCCTTTTCGTTGAATAAAGGGGGATATAGAAATAGGCTCCATCCGTCCATCTGCTCTCACGGGACAGTAATTATGGGAAAAGAGTCAACTTGGCCCTATACCAACTCGGCACTATACCAACTCGGCATGGGTCAACTCGGACCACTTTACAAAAATATATAGGCCTATAACGTATTAACTTTGCTTTGCATGTTGTAAAAAGAAATATCTTATTATTATTATATAATTATACATTGTATCTCTGCTGAAATAAAGTATATTTAGAAAGAAAAGTTATTTATTTGTCTTGCAGATTCGATAAAATTAATATAGACACAGGCACGATTATCAAACCTGGGAAGAAAAAATATGAACATATTGATAAAATAACTTCATATTTTTTCTTCCCAGGTCCGATACTTGTGCCTGTGAATATTGATATAATAAAAATGTGTTTCCTTAGATGCATTTTGTTTTTAAAGTAATTTTCAAAAAATATGAAACAAAAACGTGTTTACTTAATAATAGCATAAACTTCTAATTAATTGCAGGTGGTCACTTATCAAATTTAATGAATGAGTCAATCATAATTATCACCTAATTATATAATCGGTATTTTTAACATACACATTGATTGATAATAATAGCCCGTGACAATAGGAGTCCTTTGATGTCCTTTACCCATTTTTACAGTGGGCCGAGTTGAAATAGGGCCGAGCTGACTCGGGGGCCGAGTATGTTTTAGGGCCGAGCTGACCCGGATTCGTAATTATGTGGCTAGAGGGCCAATAGGTAACTGTTCTTTCTCTTTGATGTCATTCATTCCATAATGCTTTTATGTGGCTATTTTCTTTTGTGTGGCTTAAAAGAACAATAGAGAGAACAAAAGAGTAGCCACATAATTACTGTCCTATGAGAACGCCTGTGTTTCTGTTCCTCCATCCATCATACTTTCGTGTCAGTCCATAACTTTGTCATTTATCAAAGGAATCTTAAATAACTTGTCACAAATGTTTGTTATAATAAGATGATGTGTCATGCGCAACAACCAGACCCGTACCTCCAGGGTCAAGGTCGCACTTGCTCATTTAAGGTCAACCTTGTCTATTTGAGGGTATATATATGTCGTGTCTGGTCCATAACTTTCTTATTATAAAAGGGATTTTGTAAATACTTGCCAAAGTTGTTCACAATAATCAGACAATGTGTCATGTGCAAAAACTGGTCACCTACTTCCAAGGTCAAGGTCACATTTGGAGGTCAAAGATAAAATAGTCTGTTTAAGGGTATATTTTGTGTCTGGTCCATAACTTTTTCATAGATCAAAGGATTTTGAAAATACTTGGCACTAATAGTCACTATAATAAGAGAATGTGTCATGTGCAACACCTGCATCCTTACCTTCAAGGTCAAGGTCACACTTGTCCATGCGTCGTTCTCTTTTGTGTCTCGCGTAACTCAAAAAGTATTTGACAGATAGTATTGAAACTTTACAGGAATGTTGATCAGCATGTGTAGTTGTACACCTGGGTATTTTCGTCTGGATATTTTTAGAGTTATTGCCCTTGACTTAGTAAAATTTTGCAATTTTTAACTTGTGTCGCATGTAACTCAAAAAGTATTTGACCTAGAGTCATGAAACTTTACAGGAATGTTGATCAGCATGTTTAGTTGAGCACTTGATTATTTTCGTCTGGATATTTTTAGTATTTTTGGAGTAATTGCCCTTAACTTAGTAGAATTTTGCAATTTTCAACTTGTGTCGCATATAGTTTTCTTTTAGTTTTGCACCTGGGGTTTCCTGAGTTATTTCCCTTGACTTAGTAAAAATTGTTTCATTATGTTGTTATTTGTTCTTTGAGTGCTTGAGCTAGTATCAACCAACTTTACAGGAATTATGATCAACATTACTTAATTACAGGAATAATGATTCACATCACTGTGAAGCTATAAACCTGGGACTTTGCATGTGGATTTTTTTAAGAGTTATTGTCCTTGACTTACAGTAGTATAAATTTGCAATTTTCAACTTGTTCATGCATAGCCCAAAAAGTATTTCACTTGTAGGCCTGAGAGTTTACAAGAATGTTGGTCAGCATGTGTACTTATGCACCTTGGGGTTTGCTTTTGGATTTATTCAGTATTTGTAAAGTTCTTGCCCTTTAGTAAAAGATTTTTAGTTTTCAAAAAATATTTGACCTAGAGTCATAAGATTGACAGAACCGTGGTGTGGTGGGGGCACCGGTGTCCTATGGACACATTTCTAGTTTTAATCAACATTATTAATACTTAGATATAATACAATAGAATACTGAAATTTTCAGCAATTATGCCCCTGGAATACTGAATATTATAATTATGTTAAAAACTTTAAAATAAAGCCGCCTCCATGGTCGAGGGGTTAGAGTCGATGACTTCTAATCCAGTTACCTCTCTGGCGTGGGTTCGATCCCCGGGAGATGCTTTGGTAGTTTAGCGCGGAGGAAGGTAGTCTAGTACTGGTGTAACTCTCCAGGAACGATGGTTAGGAAACTACCCGCCTATATGACTGAAATACTGTTGGAAAAAGGCGTAAAATGAAACAAACAAACAAACAAACAAAACTTTAAAATAAAATAAAAAATCATCTTGGAACGACTTAAAAGAAAAAAAATACAATGTTTACAGTAAATTTGTCTGCTTCACACAAAATATAACTGTTTTTATTTCATCATTGAACATGATCACACAAGCCCCAGTATGATTGTATATGAATTCTGGTATGATCACTTCCCCAACATTAAAACAAAGTAGTCTGCACTAACATAAGTCTAACTAGGCTCTTGTTCAATAATGTTTGTACAAAAATGCTATAATCATCACATATCAAAATGCTGCATTTTTTTTTTCAGGTGCATCAGGTAATTATGGACAGTCAAATTACAAGAGATGGTCGTCTGATGGACCTGATTGATGAAAAATGGCGGGAAGATCAGCTACCAGAGGAAGATATTGCTGTACCACAAATGGAATTACCAGAAATTGAACAATTAGAGAATGGACCTACAACAGAAACTTTAAAAGAACAAGAACAAAAGTGGACAGATCTAGGTCTGTCTTCACTACATGACCAACCTCCTCCTAGTAGTACATCTTAATCTAGAATGTTTACTAGAAACTTTATAATATAACATTATGATGCATTCTGTGTAAACAAGTCTGTGAGGAAAATATGATGGGGTTATGAGATGACAAGTTCTGTATTCTAAATAGTGCTTCAGTGATAAATGGAACCAGTTCCATTGATTAACAGCTGTTGATGACAATTTAGTTAAAAATATTGTGATGTGATTGTTTTTAAACAATCATTGTTTTTAAACCATCATACATCTCACATAACTTATTTTATCTCTCTTATTATGACTTTTTTTTACGTATTTTGTCATAAAAACTTAATTTTCAAAATGAGATAAATAAGGTGGATCACGATTTGTTTAAAATTTTTACCAAAGGGGAATAAATCAAGACGTCTTTATAGTGTTTGAATTTAAGAGAGCTTTCCTGATGGATTATTTTATCAGTGAATCTTTCTTATAAAGTACAAGTACATATATGTTTTCATAAACAAATGAAAGAAGACTAGTTTGTTATACATTTCTTATTACATTAATCTGGTGTTATACATAATAGCTAGCCATTTACATAGGAATGTGAATATATTGCATCAATACATTTATTATGCCCCCTTTTGAAAAAAAGGGGGTATATTGCTTTGCACTTGTCGGTCCGTCGGTCCGTCCGTAGACCAAATGGTTTCCGAGTGATAACTAAAGAACCCTTAGGCCTAGGAACTTCAAACTTGGTATGGTGATTGGTCATGACAAGTAGATGACCCCTATTGATTTTGGGGTCAAGGGGTCAAAGGTCAAGGTCACATTGACCTTGTAAGCAAAAACGGTTTCCGATCAATAACTAAAGAACCTTAAGGCCTAGGAACTTCAAACTTGGTATGGTGATTTGTCATGATCAGTAGATGACCCTATTGATTTTGGGGTCAAGGGGTCAAAGGTCAAGGTCACATTGACCTTGTAAGCAAAAACGGTTTCCGATCAATAACTAAAGAACCTTAAGGCCTAGGAACTTCAAACTTGGTATGGTGATTTGTCATGATCAGTAGATGACCCCTATTGATTTTGGGGTCAAGGGGTCAAAGGTCAAGGTCACATTGACCTTGTAAGCAAAAACGGTTTCCGATCAATAACTAAAGAACCTTAAGGCCTAGGAACTTCAAACTTGGTATGGTGATTTGTCATGATCAGTAGATGACCCCTATTGATTTTGGGGTCAAGGGGTCAAAGGTCAAGGTCACATTGACCTTGTAAGCAAAAACGGTTTCCGATCAATAACTAAAGAACCTTAAGGCCTAGGAACTTCAAAATTGGTATGGTGATTAGTCATGATCAGTAGATGACCCCTAACAATTTTGGGGTCAAGGGGTCAAAGGTCAAGGTCACATTGACCTCTTGGGTAAAAACGGTTTCCGATCAATAACAAAAGAACCCTTAGGCCTAGGAACTTCAAACTTGGTATGGTGATTGGTTATGACCAGCAGATGACCCCTATTGATTTTGGGGTTAAGTGGTCAAAGGTCAAGGTCACATTGACCTCTTAGGTAAAAACGGTTTCCGATCAATAACGAAAGAACCCTTAGGCCTAGGGACTTCAAACTTGATATGGTGATTGGTCATGATCAGTAGATGACCCCTATTGATTTTGGAGTTAAGGGGTCAAAGGTCAAGGTCACATTGACCTTGTAGGTAAAAACGGTTTCCGATCAATAACGAAAGAACCCTTAGGCCTAGTGACTACAAACTTGATATGGTGATTGGTCATGATCAGTAGATGACCCCTATTGATTTTGGGGTCAAGGGGTCAAAGGTCAAGGTCACATTGACCTCTTAGGTAAAAACAGTTTCGGATCAATAACTAAAGAACCCTTAGGCCTAGGAACTTCAAACTTGGTATGGTGATTGGTCATGATCAGTAGATGACCCCTATTGATTTTGGGGTCAAGGGGTCAAAGGTCAAGGTCACATTGACCTCTTAGGTAAAAGCAGTTTCCGATCAATAACTAAAGAACCCTTAGGCCTAGGAACTTCAAACTTGGTATGGTGATTGGTCATGACCAGCAGATGACCCCTACTGATTTTGGGGTTAAGGGGTCAAAGGGAAAGGTCACATTGACCTTGTAGGTAAAAATGCTTTCCGATCAATAACTTAAGAACCCTTAGGCCTAGGAACTTCAAACTTGGTATGGTGATTGGTCATGACCAGCAGATGACCTATTGTTTTTAGGGTCAAGGGGTCAAAGGTCATGTAACATTGACCTTGTAGGTAAAAACGGTTTCCGATCAATTAACTAAAAACGCTTAGGCCTAGGAACTTCAAACTTTGTATGATGATAGGTGGTGACCAGCAGATGACCCCTATTGAGTTTTTGGTCAAGGGGTCAAAGGTCAAGGTCACATCGACCTTGTAAGTAAAAACGGTTTCTGATCAATAACTTAAGAACGCTTAGGCCTAGGAACTTCAAACTTGGTATGGTGATTTTTCATGACCAGCAGATTACCCCTTTCAATTTTGGGATCAAGGGGTCAAAGGTCAAGGTCACATTGACCTTGTAAGTAAAAACGGTTTCTGATCAATAACTAAAGAACACTTCGGCCTAGGAACTTCAAACTTGGCATAGTGATTGGTCATGATCAGCAGATGACCCCTATTGATTTTGGGGTCAAAGGTCAAGGTCACATTGTCCTTGTATGTTAAAACGGTTTCGGATCAATAATAAAAGAACCCTTAGGCCTAGGAACTTCAAACTTGGCATTGTGATTAGTCATGACCAGCAAATGACCCCTATTGATTTTGGGGTCAAGGGGTCATTGGTCAAGGTCACATTGACCTTGTAAGTAAAAACGGTTTCTGATCAATTAAGTAAAAACGCTTAGGCCTAGGAACTTCAAACTTTGAATGATGATTTGTCTTGACCAGCAGATGACCCCTATTGAGTTTTGGGTCAAGGGGTCAAAGGTCAAGGTCATGACCAGTAGATACTTGATAACCCTTATTAATTGTTTGATCATTGGGTCAGAAGTCATGCATAATTACCTTATCACATGAATAATTGGCTGCTGATAGGGGGCATACATGTTTTACAAACATATCTTGTTAAATACAGTATCACAGCTTTTATCTTATGTGAGCTCTTACAGTATGTCAGTTTGTTGTAAATAATTATAAAAAACATATATGCATAAATAGTTTGACAGTAAGTTATAATGATTATCGTTTACTTTTCCACTGACTTGCATTTATTAACTATGGTAATGTTTGGAAGATTATAAACAAACATTTTATACATTTTTGATATAATTTATCTGAATTGTTTACCTGAACAAGATATTAATATATCCTGTCACACCTGTGAAAATATTTGATATTTAATGGTTTATTACCTCTAGTTGTGTGCAGTGAGGGGTTAAATATTTTACTACAAATACTGACCTACATTAGTTAAAGTCCTATTATACTTGATGCAAGATCAAAAATAGTTTACAAATATAAGGAGATTTATATACATAGATGAAATATTCACAATTTATGACTGACCTGGACTATAACAGACATAAATGATACGTTCAATGGTACGAAGGAGCATTATTGAAAATCTGTGATTGCTTTTTGCAGTTGTTCTTAAACTGAACATATAACCATAATTTTATATAGAGCAATAACAGTTATCTCCCTTAGTATACAGTTTGCAACATAAAATACTTCTTTTAGTAGGCATGATAAACACTTATTTTATACTCCCTATCAGTGTCCATATCCGTAACTGACTGCACAATGAAGCATGAGAATATATCCTACACAAAATGTATTAATATAAATCTCTGTATAAAGTAATGAGTCATTTCAGATGTGCATTTGCATGTTTGTAAAATATACCCATTGCTTGTCATATTCATCTTGGAGGACACCTTCGCTCAATTTTAATTAGATTATTTCTAAAGCCCAGAACACGCATAAATAAATATATACAACAATATTTCAACCATCTTCATTAAGGTCAACTATGGAATATGTTTCTGCAGATTTTCTTATTGGAGATCTTGGTACTTCTAGCGTGACACCTTCAGTGTTGATGGCAACATCTTGTTCTGTTGTTGTAAACGATTTATTAACGTAACTGCCACTGTTGGTGACAACATCGTCCTGTTCTATAGTTGTAAACGATTTATTCACGTAACTGGCATTTCCCTTTTCGTTTTTATAATTGTCATTTTTGTGTTTTCTTAGACTACATTTGAATAAACAGTTAAGCCAGTGATTTTTGCGATCAGCTTCTGGTTTTCTTCTCCACAGTATGTAGCTGTAATGACAAAAATAAATTGACCACACTATCGCAGCCCTAACTTAAAAACCTTTCTTTTGATAGTGACTGATACTTCATCGCCCATGTTCATTCCTATTTTTATGTAAATAAAGATAATTAACTATTGTGTAAAACTAACATTATAGGCATAATATCCCAACGCAAAATAATATATCTCGGACTATTTGTTCGTTTGTCGCGCCCATATATTTGTTTACTACTGCAAAGAAGAAGACGATCGTCTTTATAAAGTTCTGGTGTTACGACATGAATTTATTCTGATTGATAAAATATTATTCAATTTTAAGTAAGCTCGTAATGATTAATGCAACACTTAGGTATTAATAAACGTAACAAAAACTATGGCCAGTTACCTTATTAGAATGTATAACAGTACGGCTACCAGAACAAATACAGCTACTGCACCTAGCAAAATTCCCGCTATCTTCGAATCTAAAAGATTATACAACATAAATAAATAAATAAAATATATTCGAAAGAATGATGTTTATGCAGACACTGTCACACTTCACATGCGTGTTATGACGTACGTTCCTGAACCACACTGTTCATAGCAACTTTACTGGTAGAAGAAGGCCTCCAACCATAAAAAAAAAACATTTGTAAGGTGTTTTTTTATATGACAGGACTGGATTTTTTTTTTAGATTTATATCCGTCTTGACTAATAACTTGAATGTGCAAAAATTGTATTCTTTTAGTTGTGAAAATGACCCAAAAATGAAGTTTAGATTTGGACTAAGATCGAAGCGCACAAAAATATTATTTTCAATTTAATTATCTTTTGGATATATTTTCGTTTTAAGTAAATGTGGACAAGTTAGTCTATGTAAGACATTCATATTTTATATTGGCTTTAAGAGGGGTTCGAACTAATTATAGAGAAATATTTTTGATGCTTTCCTGCACTGCTAACATACGATGTCATAGGTTGTCTTTGTGATAAAAGGCCACATATTCAAGTTTTAACCGCACAATTAACAGCCAATATTCAATTCCTATCAAGTCTGTAAAACTAGCATGGGGCGCTGTCCTGTGAATCTTATCAATCACTTATCGTTATCTTTATTTTAAATTTTTTAATAATGTGTACTCAAATAAAAGGTTATATAAACATCAATAGGCGTTGATGTCGTGGAAGTAACCTTACATAGAAACTGTGACATTCATTCTACACACATCTAACAATATATCCTCGTCATACCGTTTATTATATAGTACAAGTATACATAAAAATATAATAAAGGCGTTTCAAATAACTTTCACGTTTAGATAAAATATAGCTACAGTTTACATCACGTGCCTTGTGAAATTTATGACAACAGAAATCCAACAGAACATTTGTTGATTAAATCAATCTCATTATATGCAAGTATCCTGTAAATATTAACAAATGAAAAGAAAAGCCAAAACATACCTTTCATTTTCTACATCCCACATTATTTCCCATCCGGAAGTCAGTAACTTGTGTATTTTATCGAGCTGTGAACACTTCATATACGATGATCATATAAAATTTCATCTTCCCAGTATGAAACATAAAACCTCAGTTTCACATTTGATACATTCCATGTCATACGAGATGCAAAAAAAAAAGAACAAACAAGATTACTATAGATACGTTACAAATTTACTTCCTGTCAAAACTGCGTTTAATTTTCATAACATTCCTCAAGAACAGTTTTATCTCTCGCTTTTGCAATCAATGATAAAGTTGTATTCATGTTTAGATGACATTGGAAACTACTTAAGATGTTTGCAAATTAGGCTTGCCATATCTTTAGTCCAACTTTAACGTTGTCTGTTATTTATGACAATTCAAGTGTGTGTGTGGTAAGGGAGAGAAGATCATAAAAGCAAGAGTAGGAATTCTCACAATTTATGTCAGTGTTCAATAAAATAAATATAATCGTGATCCTTTTATCGCTCACCTGGATGAATCAAGTGTGAGTATAAGAAGCCAGATACCTTAAAACCAAATATTTAAAGCAGTATTTCTAAAGGTTAAATGTTATTTTTAGATAAATCGTTTCATATTATTTTCAAATCAAAATAATTAAGATGGAAAATGAAATTTGCCGACGATAAATACATAAACAATAAGGATATCTCTAATCTACCAGTCCGCTCTCTTTATGTAAATTAGTATTTAGCGCGACCATCTACATTTTTAGAAACGAGCGCGACCATGTGCGACTTATGCGCTAAAAATAGCTCTCAAGACGTTGTTCTGAAGAAGGCTAAACAGTGATATGATGCACTTTTTTTCAAGAAAAAAAATATTGAAATGTTTAGTTTGATACAACACAGAATTGTTTTTCCAACAAAAAATAAAAGCTGAAGGTCGTTTTAAGATATCGATCAATATATGGGTGCTCTTTGAGAAAAGGATTAAATTTATATCTTTTTTATGTTCATCATGGCAATGATCTCAGGTAGGGAATGATAGAGATGCATGCACTGTGCATTTACAAGATTTATAACATATATAAATTATTGAAAAGCCCGTCAGGGAATATTAAATGCTAAATATCTGAGCTCTTGGCCTCCTGATTTCAGATTGTTTCACGTTGATCTGGTACATTGTATTTAAACAGTTATGACAGGGTTTCATGCTACAGTTTCATCAATCCATTCATCACTGATATCAATGCTGATGAGTAAAGGAAACAAGAGGGCCATGATGGCCCTAAGGTCGCTCACCTGTATGTAGGCCCCCGGAGCGGGGCCAGTTTAAATCCCAGGGCTTTTATTTGAACAAACTTGGAAGACACCTATAAGAAGACGTTTCATGATGTACACACTTATAATGAAAAACAATGATCTGCCCTCCCCTACCCCCGGCAGGGCCAATTTTAACCAAGGGCTTTTATTTGAACAAACTTGGTAGACACCCATAAGAAGATGTTTCATGCTAAACATCTAAGCTGTAGCTCATTGTGTTTTTTTAAAGAAGATTTTTTAAGTTTTTACTATACACATATAGTTGAAAACAATGACACCCCTGGGGCGGGGCCAGTTTTGACCCCAGGGCTTTTATTTGAACAAACTTTGTAGACACTTACTAGAACATGTTTCATGCTTAATATCTAAACTCTAGCTATTTGGGTTTTTTCAAAGATGTTTTTTAAGTTTTTCCTATACACATATAAGGAAAATCAATGACCCCCCAGGGCAGGGCCAATTTTGACCCCAGGGCTTTTATTTGAACAAACTTTGTAGACACTCACTAGAAGATGTTTCATGCTTAATATCTTAACTCTAGCTATTTAGGTTTTTTCAAAGAATACTTTTTAAGTTTTTGATATACACATATATAAGGAAAATCAATGACCCCCGGGGCGGGGCCAATTTTGACCCCAGGGCTCTTATTTGAACACGCTTGGTAGACACCCATTAGAACATGTTTCATGCTAAATATCTTAGCTCTAGCTCTTTGAGTTCTTTAAAAGAAGATTTTTTAAGTTTTTACTATATACATGTACATATAGGGAAAATCAATGACCCCCTGGGGCGGGGCCAATTTTGACCCCAAGGCTTTTATTTGAACAAACTTGGTAGACACCCATTAGAACATGTTTCATGCTAAATATCTTAGCTCTAGCTCTTTGAGTTCTTTAAAAGAAGATTTTTTAAGTTTTTACTATATACATATAGGGAAAATCAATGACCCCCTGGGGCGGAGCCAATTTTGACCCCAGGGCTTTTATTTGAACAAACTTGGTAGACACCCATTAGAACATGTTTCATGCTAAATATCTTAGCTCTAGCTCTTGGTTCTTTAAAAGAAGATTTTTTAAGTTTTTACTATGTACATATAGGGAAAATCAATGACCCCCTGGGGCGGGGCAATTTTGACCCCAGGGCTTTTATTTGAACAAACTTGGTAGACAACCATTAGAACATGTTTCATGCTAAATATCTTAGCTCTAGCTCCATGAGTTCTTTAAAAGAAGATTTTTAAATTTTTACTATATGCATACAGGGAAAATCAATGACCCCCTGGGGCGAGGCCAATTTTGACCCCAGGGCTTTTATTTGAACAAACTTGGTAGACACTCATTAGAAGATGTTTCATGCTAAATATCTTAGATCTAGCTCTTTGGGTTCTTTAAAAAAAGATTTTTTAAGTTTTTACTATATGCATATAGGGAAAATCAATGACACCCTGGGGCGGGGCCAATTTTGACCCCAAGGCTTTTATTTGAACAAACTTGGTAGACACCCATTAGAACATGTTTCATGCTAAATATCTTTGCTCTAGCTCTTCGGGTTCTTTAAAAGGAGATTTTTTAAGTTTTTACTATATGCATATAGGGAAAATCAATGACCCCCTGGGGCGGGGCCAATTTTGACCCCAGGGCTTTTATTTGAACAAACTTGGTAGACACCCATTAGAACATGTTTCATGCTAAATATCTTAGCTCTAGCTCTTTGAGTTCTTTAAAAGAAGATTTTTTAAGTTTTTACTATATACATATAGGGAAAATCAATGACCCCCTGGGGCGGGGCCAATTTTGACCCCAGGGCTTTTATTTGAACAATCTTGGTAGACACTCACTAGAAGATGTTTCATGCCAAATATCTAAGCTCTAGCTCTTTCGGTTTTTTAAAAGAAGATATTTAAAGTTTTTTCTTTTGGTTGCCATGGCAACCAGAGTTCTGCATGGGAACAATTTTTAAAGGTGACCACCAAAGGAACATTCCTGTGAAGTTTGGATGAAATTGGCTTAGTGGTTTATAAGGAGATGTCATTTAAAGTAAAAGTTTACGGACGGACGGACGGACGGACGAAAAGCGATCACAAAAGCTCACCCTGTCACTTTGTGACAGGTGAGCTAAAAAAGATAAACTGATGATTTTTTGTACACATCAACCTTCGGGTAGAAGCTATCATTGCAAGTCTTATTTCTCAAACGTCTCCTGAACCGGTTTTGAATTTTCGATACACATCATAGATGACAGGTGAAAACTGGCAATTTAAACCCGGGAAATTTAAATATGTGTTTTAATATTTTTGTTCTAGATATATGAGATGTTAAAAAAAAGCAATCCTTACTCATAACAATTTTGCTCACCTGACAATCAGTTTTAGACAAGTTTTGAGGTTGGCAGCATAGAAACTGAGATTCTTGGTTTCAAATGTTATTCTGCACATATAACTGTAGTGTACATTTAGTCAAAATCTGAAAACTGCAGCATAATTGATCATCGACAGGGTGTTAATGCTGACCCCAATGGCAATATATGAACATAATTACTGGGTTCTTGATACCACCAAGGAAGGGTTCATATTCAAATCTCTAAGCCTTAATATGGTTTCCAACAAAGTATTTAAAAAACAATTTTGCTAATCTGAAGGAATTAGGGACTGCATGTAAGTCACAGGGGTATAATTTGAACACACTTGGTAAACAACAACTTATCAATGCTACATTTCCTCTAAGCCTCTAGTTTTTAACAAGATTTCTTGCTAAAAATAAATTTAAGTGATCCCTGGGACACAGGCAGTCGGTGCATGGCTTGGATACTATACATGTACATGCCCACTCCCACTTATTTGATATATAATCTTTTATTTAAAATGTTTTTAAAACATCATATTTTCAGTAAATTAGTTTCATACATAAAATACTTTAAATATATGTAAAATCTTTCTTTATAGTATTATTTGGATGAAAGAAAAAGAACAATATTTTTATAAACAAATCAACAAACAAAAGAAAGGTGATGAAAGCCACATTCTGTAATAAAAGCTAGCAAAACAGGAGAACAGTAAGCAACTACGAAATTTGAATTTAGGCATTTATTTAAAATTTAACATCTTTTGATGATATCCTACAATACAAACAAGCGCTGTCATAGGAGACAGCGAAGCTCGACTAATAAAATACTGGACGTAGTAAGGAAGACAAAACTATGAAAAAAATCAATTATGTATAATTATGTAATAACTTATAGTAAAAAAAATAGCATTTGTTAACATAAATTCCAAGTTCAAAGGGGTATAATTCTGGAAATAGTCACACTAGAGTTATGAACCTTGTCACACAACATGTGTGTAATGATAAGAAATATGTATTTGAAGTTTGAAGTAGATACCTTAAAAAGTAAAAAAGTTATATTATTTCTTAAGAAAATCCTATGTTCAAAGAGAGATAAATCTGAAACTATTGCCAGAGTTATGAACCTTGTCACATAAGATGTGGTTGATGATAAGGAATAAGTCTTTGAAGTAGATACCTTTAAAACTAATGAAGTTATAGTAAAAAATAATATTTTCCAAGTAAAAAAAAATCTAAGTTTATGGGGAGATAACTCTGGCAATATTGGTGCTAGAGTTATGAACCATGTCACATAAGATGTGGTTGATTATAAGGAATATATTTTTGTAGTATGAAGTTGATTCTAAAAAATAAAGAAGTAACAGTAAAATATAGTATTTTTAAGAAAAAGTTCAAGGGGAGATAAATCTGAAAATATTGGTGCTAGAGTTATGAACCTTGTCGCATAAGATGTGGTTGATGATAAGGAACATATAGATTAAGTATGTTGTTGATCCTTTAAGAAATAAAGAGAAAAATATTTTACTGCACCAAAACTTTAATCTGAAATCTGGACAAGGATGCCTTGGCGAGTAGGACAGCTCTCCATATACTTCGTATAGTCAAGCTAAAAATGGATCTTGAAACATTGCAGTTATGTTTTTCCTTTAATTCTTATCAAGATTACACACAACTACCACACCTGTCCCAATTACTAAATTCCCTTACAGTATGTACATTACCTCAATTCTAACAATCTCATTATGTAAATGTTGTAAACAATGGTAAGTCCTTCAAAGTATATACTATACACACATGCATATGAACAAGACATCATATTAAGTTTGTTAGCTGGTGATTTAGTCACATGATCTCATAACAAACACAACAGAAAATTGTTCCTTAAATATGTGTTAAAGCATGATTCTTCATAAAGTTCTGAAAAAATATGTACTATTTTCTTAAAATGCATAAAATTTGTGTACCTTACAACCATTTTTGGAGTGTATTTTCAGCAACTATTTTGCTCCACCAAAAGTTTTTATTGGGTATTCAAATTATTGTTAAAATATTAAGTTCTAAGTTGGTCAGAATTGTATAGGAATATTTTTATTTTATATATACACTTTATTAGAGCTCCATATTATTGATCTAGGTGTGTGAAAGCATCGGACAGGGCTAGATACAAGTTCATTCACAATGTTATTTTGTTTGTGTTACACCCAAAACACTTTACTCACATCATCTTATAGTACTTTAAATTCATTAGATAGAAAAAATTCTCAGTTGTATATTATATTCAAATGATTTCCATCTCAAGATGTATGATAAAACATGGACATATATCAGTGTAACACTGTAATAATTCAATGGTTGAGCTGCTGATTCATCTGACGAAGGATTCCTAACACAACTTCTCTCAATGTCTGAAATATAAAATTATATAAAAATCAACACTCACTTTACATCTAAAACAATCTACTGACAGTTACATCTTAATAAAAGATGGTTTTCTGAGAGGTGCTTCAACACTATGGTTGTTACTAACAACAATTATAATGTGAGTTAATATGCAAAGTACACGCGTAGGGTAAGTCCTCCTTTCATTTTCTGAGAGCATAACTTGTGTCTATTAAATAGAAGAGTAACTAGGCAGGGGTAATCTGGTCTGAAGTACGCAATTTAACCCCCAATTATTTTACAATTTCTGTCCTAATTTTCTGAATGACCTCTATCTAGTTTTTGAAATATAAGAGTTTTCCATCTTGACACACTGTATCACAGCAAATTTATGAAATACTCATTGCATCAAACTGGCCCAAATAGTTCAGACATGTCTTTATCTTCGTTAAAATAGCTTTTGTATTTGCTAAATTTGTTTCTTTGTTATGGAAGGCCAAGGCAAAGCATGCAAAAATCATGTTGTTGTACTAAGTATGTTACAAGTAACATGTATACAAATGAATCAAAAATATTCTTGTTATTCATGAAATATCAGGAAACACACTATCAGCACATTTTATATGTGACATTGAACCCTAGTTAAACACCTTCGACACAGGAATATAAAAAACTAGACAAGTTCAAACAAATGCATTAGGTTAAAGATTAAAATCTAAACAACTCATAACATGTATGTGATGAGTCAATTCTGACTGTGTGATAAATAAAATGTAGATATCTTATTCCACAATGAACAATATGTTACAAGGTTCATTTCATAATCACTATAAAATGAGAGAAACAACAAATCAATTAATATTTTCCTTTGAAAATTTTGCCTTCTATTCAATGCATAATATAATTTTTTCCATTATCAAGCCAACTTTTATAACTAGAACTGCCACCGTCATGGCGTGAATACCCCCACATACCACTTTGTCAGAATCAACAGTGGTCATTTAGAACTCAAGGACAACCACCCTGCCAAATCTGAGGTTACTAAGCCAGTGCATTGCTAAGATATGTATTCTTCATGCTTCAAATGTGAAAATTTTAAAATCAAGCTTTTTTAGTCAATGCCCCTGTGACCTTGACCTTTGACCCAGTGACCTCAAAATCAATAGGGGTCATTTAATAATCATGACTAACCTCCATTCCAAATACGAAGACTGTGGGTCAAAGGAATCTCAAGTTATTGGGCAAACAAGCTTTTTAAGTCAATGCCCATGTGACCTTGACCTTTGACCCAGTGACCTCAAAATCAATAGGGGTCATCTACTAATCATGACTAACCTCCATGCCAAATATGAAGACTGTGGGTCAAAGGAATCTTAAGTTATTGGGCGGACAAGCTTTTTTTTATCAAGGCCCCTGTGACCTTGACCTTTGACCCAGTGACCTCAAAATCAATAGGAGTCATCTACTAATCATGACTAACCTCCATGCCAAATATGAAGACTGTGGGCCAAAGGAATCTCAAGTTATTGGGTGGACAAGCTTTTTAAAGTCAAGGCCCCTGTGACCTTGACCTTTGACCCAGTGACCTAAAAATCAATAGGGGTCATCTACTAATCATGACTAACCTCCATGCCAAATATGAAGACTGTGGGTCAAAGGAATCTCAAGTTATTGGGCGGACAAGGAAAAACCGACGTCCGGACGGACAAGCTGATTCCAGTATACCCCCCCTTACAACTTTGTTGTGTGGGCGTATAAAAACTGGGAGATAATGAGATAAGTTAATAAGTCCCTAGATGGAAGGATAATTACAATAAATGAAGAAATTTACCTGAGGCTTACAGTACTCCTCCAGCCAGCTGAACACACAAGCTGATAACTCAGCAAAGTTTGCCACAGAGATGTTGGCATTGAACGTGCAAAATAATGCATCCATTATCTGTTTAAACTGAAAGTAAACAAAAACAAACATGGTGAAAATAAAACCATTATCTTTTTTAATTTGAAAGATGAACAAACTTACCAAGTTTTATTTAAAACTTTTTGAGTATATCACAACAAACATTAAGTGTCTACAAACTATTGCAATACTACAATAAAATAAAAAATAGTATAGATAATTGGTGTAAAGTATACATCGTGCATGATGTAAGAAATGTCACACATGTTATATAAACCTCTTCATAGAGTATTACATGCATTTGTAAGGTGTTTCAACTTCTTGCTGAACATCCTTAAGGATCTTCATTTAATACATAAATTAATACATTTTTTTTACACAAATGGTGCACTCAAAGCAGAAAAATATCCAAACTTAGAATTAAATTAAAAATTAATCTTGAGTATATTTCTTAGCTGAATTTGATTTAAAAGCAGTTGGAAGATTTTAAGTCTTTGGTCATTCTGCAAAATAAAAATCAATCTTCTGGAAAAAACAGAGAGGGAAAGATCTGATATTTTGCACACATTTTTATATGGGTTCAGACCTAATTCAAATGGTACACAAATCTTACTATTCTTTTAAATATATTATATATATCTTTAAATTTTTAGAATGATACAAACCACTTGAAATTTTGCAGCATCTGACACTTGATTCTGACCATGTACTGGCTGGTTTTGATGTGTCTTTACTATGTGCTCATAATTACTGAAATCAACAAGGTAGTTGTTAACATTGTTTACACCATCTACCAGTATATTATGATACAAACCACCTGAATTGAAGCTACTTACTTTCATATAATATGATGGAATATGAAATTGGCATCTTTACTTACACAAGAGTAAAATATAATCTTTCAATTACAAGAGAGGCTCATTAAACTAGAAATGTGTCATCATGCCACGGATGCCCCCGCATGCAGCCAAAATTTCAGATGTAATTATATTTAGTTCCAAATTTGTTTGCACAAATTATTGTTTTCATTTTAAGTTCAAAGCCCTTAAAACTTTTCAATGGTAACACAAACCATTTTCATACAATGTTCAAAGCACTGAAATTATTCAGTCTTAACCTTTTGAAAATAGCATATTTCATATTTGTAGCCAAAATAATGGCTACATACATTTCCACAAAAGTATGAGTGCTGAAACTGAAAGTTCAAATTTTTTTCCAATATTCAAGAAAGATAAGTTTGTCCAAAATCATTGAACCACGACCAAATTCAAACTTAAACTGCCTATTCCTAAGATGTATCTATATTATTTTCAAAGTGAAAGGGACATAACTCTGCCAAAAAATCATCGAACCATGACAAAATTCCAATTTGACCTGCCCATTCCTTTGACAAATCCATATGTCAAATTTGAGTTGAATATGTAACACTGTTGGGTAGATAATGAACAGAAACTGTAAATTTCATATTTTTTTTCAAAGTGAAACGGGCATTACTCTGCCAAAAATTATTGAAACCATGACCAAATTCGAACTTGACCTTGGCATTCCAAAAAAAAATATCCATATGTCAAATTTGAGTTGAAATGTGTTTGTACTGTTGGGGAGATAATAAACAGAAACTGAAAATTTCATATTATTTTCAAAGTAAAAAGGAGCATAACTCTGCCAAAAATCATCGAAACCATGACCAAATTCAAACTTGACCTGTATTTTCTCATGACATATCCATATGTCAAATTTGAGTTGAATGTGTTGTACCGTTGGGGAGATAATGAACAGAAACTGAAAATTTCATATTATTTTTCAAAGTAAAAAGGGGCATAACTCTGCCAAAAATCATCGAATCATGACCAAATTCGAACTTGACCTGTATTTTTCTCATGACATATTCATATGTCAAATTTGAGTTGAATTGTGTTGTACGGTTGGGGAGATAATGAACGGGAAACTGAAAATTTCATATTATTTTCAAAGTAAAAGGGGCATAACTCTGCCAAAAAATCGTTGAACCATGACCAGATTCGAACTTGACCTGTATTTTCTCATGACATATCCATATGTCAAATTTGAGTTGAATGTGTTGTACCATTGGGGAGATAATGAACGGAAACTGAAAATTTCATATTATTTTCAAAGTAAAAGGGGCATAACTCTGCCAAAAATCATCGAACCATGACCAAATTCGAACTTGACCTGTATTTCCTCATGACATATCCATATGTCAAATTTGAGTTGAATATGTGCAACCGTTACTAAGATAATGAACGGAAACTGATGATGACGGAATGACAGAATGACGGAATGACGGAAGGACGGAATGACGGAAGGACGGAACAGGGTAACACTATATGCCCCGGCCATTACATGGCGGGGGCATAAAAATGTGTCCAAAACATATTTTAAATCATCCATGATTCATCATATAGGTGTGGATGATCCATCATATAGTAACAAGTGAACGAAACCAGGTTTTCATTTTAGTTGTCAATCAACCTATTTTTTCACATATTCAAATAATTCAGACCAGACACAAAATTGCAGATATCAATATATTGTTCTCCCATGTGTTTTTTTAAGCCACATAAAAAGTTCAGCTACATATAAACCTTACTGACTGAAGAACTAAGATTATTTACTGTTACAGATTTTTGACTTTTGTTCAAGAAATGGAAAATATGATACAAGTACTCTTTTCATTTTGGAATATGACCAAATTGAGCCACAAAATTGTGATATTCCTTAAACTTTTGTTCTTTGCCAGTAGCACAATAAACTGTATAAAATACATGAATACAAAACTAACGCTTTCATTATCTTCAGTGCCATGACTTCTTTACGAAGAGAGTCCAGCTCATCTTCTTGCTTCTTCTTCTGCTGTACCAGAAATTGAATGTAATCAATCGCTGAAAACAATATAAAATCTATCTAACATAGCTTTCATACAAATATTTAATAACCACCACTTCATTCAAAAATACAGAACAATACAACAAATTAAAGTTATATTATTCAATTTTACATTTACAATATTTCATATTGCAAAGAGTCTAACTTAAAGCTTGGAATTCTAAAACAAGGATATATAATTTTAATATTAACAAGAACGTGTTTGTTAAACACAAATGCCCCCGGCTCCGATTCTTGTCAGTAACAATATTTCCAAAAATGTTTACCCATTCACTCAGTTATAGACAGAAACATTGCCAAAAAATTGTAAACACAAGTTATATAGCTTGACAGAGTCATGGCATTTTGTAATTGTGAAATATATAAGTTGCCAAGTCATTGCTATGACTTGTGAAGTGATAAATATTCAACTTTATCAAATATATATAAATGTAAGAAATTTATACTTGGCACCCTTGAACTTGACCCACTGACACCTATAGAATATCATGCAAGTTATCTTCCTACCAAATATGAAAAACACCTGTCAATAAATAAAGGCTGTATGGGCAAAAATGTTAAAATCTATTTTGAGCATTAATGACCTTGATCAAACTGACCCCTAACTCCATCCAAAGGAAGAATACCATGCTAGTTATCTTCCAACCTAATATAAAATAAATCTGTCAATAAATAAAGGCTGCATGGGCAAAAGTGTAAAAATCTATTTTTAGCACTTGTGACCTTGACCCAATTGACCCCTAACTCCATCCAAAGTAAGAATAACATGCAAGTTATCTTCCTACCAAATATGAAATATATCTGTCAATAAATAAAGGCTGTACGGGCAAAAGTGTAAAAATCTATTTTTAGCACTAGTGACCTTGACACACTGATCCCTAACTCAATCAAAAGGAAGAATACCATGCAAGTTATCTTCCTATCAAATATGAAATACACCTGTCAATAAATAAAGCCTGTATGGGCAAAAGTGTAAAAATCTATTTTTAGCACAAGTGACATTGACCCACTGATCCATACCCCAATCAAAAGGATGAATACCATGCAAGTTATCTTCCTACCAAATATGAAATATATCTGTCAATAAATAAAGGCTGTATGAGCAAAATGTAACTAGAACTCCGCGAGTCAGATGTGTCGCCTTGTGAACAATGTAGTTTAGGGGAAATGGCCAGGACAAAAATGAAATATGAAAAATAACAAAGGGCAATAACTAAAAAAATAATACGTGCAGAGCAGCAGTTTCTGTACTATCAATAAGATCCATCATTCTATGATGTTTCAAGTCCATAGCTTTCATACTTGAGGAGAAATGACCAGGACAAAAATAAAGTAAGAAAATCAACAAAGGGCAATAACTCAAAAATAAGAAATGCAGAGTATCAGTTCTTATGCACTGCAATTCTTTTTAACGAGATCTATCATCCTATGAAGTTTCAAGTCCATAACTTTTATACTTTCGGAGAAATGGCCTGGACAAAAATAAAGTATGAAAATTAACAAAGGGCCATAACTCAAAAATGAAGAAATGCAGAGTACCGATTCTTGTGCACTGCACTTCTTAATAATGAGATCTATCATCCTATGAAGTTTCAAGTCCATAGCTTTTATACTTAAGGAGAAATGGCCCGAACAAAATTAAAGTTTGAAAATAAACAAAGGGCAATAACTCAAAAAATAAGAAATGCAGATTCCAGTTCTTGTGCACTGCACTTCTTCTTAATGAGACCTATCATCCTATGAAGTTTTAAGTCCATGGCTTTTATACATTAGGAGAAATGGCCCGGACAAAAATAAAGTATGAAAATTAACAAAGGGCAATAACTCAAAAATTAGGAAGTGCAGAGTACTGGTTCTTGTGCACTGCATTTCTTCTTAATGAGATCTATCATCTTATGAAGTTTCAATTCCATAGCTTTTTTAGTTGAAGAGAAATGGCCCGGACAAAATTAAAGTATGAAAATTAACAAAGGGCAATAACTCAAAAAATAAGAACTGCAGAGTACCGGTCCTTGTGCACTGCACTTCGGGTTATTGAAAGAAGCATGCATACCAAGTTTGAAGTCAATCAGACTTAAAGTGACTGAGTTATGCTCCGGACAAGCTTTAGCGGACGCCGACAACGACGCCGACACAGACGCCGCCGCCGCCAACACCGCCGACAAAAGTAACCCCTATATGTCACCTTTTCAAGGCGACACAAAAATCTATTTTTAGCACTGGTGACCTTGACCCAACTGACCACTAACTCCATCATATTTTATGTTCCTATCAATTATAAATGACATCTGTCTGTAGAATATGGTTAATACACCTGTAAAAATGTAAAAATCTTTTTTTAACATTGGTGACCTTGACATTGGTGACATTGACCTTGACCCAAATGACCCCTTACTATACCCAAAGAAGGAAGATCTCCCTTGGCATGTTTGTATTAAACATGAAAGACATCAACCAAAAAATAAAGGCTGTATAAGCAAAAATGTTTAAATTTATTATCTAAACCAGTGACCTTGACCCTAGAGACCACTTACTCCACAAAAAATTAGATGACCATTAAAGGTATCCACCTACCAAATATGCAAGATATCATTAAATAAATTAAGCAATTAAGAGAAATTTACGATAAATCCAACTTGCCGGAATAGGTTAACCAGACAAGGCCCTATTTTCAAAGTGAAAAAAGGGAAATAACTGGGAAATATGGATGACACAGTTATATAACTTGGCAATATCATGTACTTTGAATGATAAGTGTGGAAATTATGAAGCCATTAGTATAGATAGAACTTAAGATATTTCCAACTTGCAGTTTTAGGTTAACCATTATTCATTTTCTAAGTGCTGAAAAGGGCAATAACTTGGTAAATATGGAAGCCATAGTTATGTAACTTGACCAGATCATGTACTTTGTATTGATTAGTAAGTGTGTAAACTAAGAAGCCATTGGTACAGGTAGAACTTAAGAAAAATCCAACTTGCCGTTCTAGGTTAACCTCGTACGGACAGACGGACGGACAGACGGACGGTTCAATTACTATATGCCCGGGGGCATAAAAACATATAATGAATACAAAGATTAAATTTTGTCACTGGCATAATTTGCTATTTTGGATCATATGATTTATTAACTTTGTTTAAGTCATGATACCTAATTATAAGCTTTTTATGTTCAAAAAGCAAAGGTGAATTCCAGTCTGAATTTCATAAGCTGAATTTCATAAGCAGTTGTCTTAAATTACAGTATCTTATTATGTCTATTACTGATGTATTCTAGGCATACAGATAATCAGATATTTTAAGTCATACTAACATTGTTAATGTGCCAACATTCCAGCTTTACTGGTGGTGGAAGATATAAAGTTGAATCTGTGCATTTTATAAAGCAAGAAAAAACCTTGACTTTTTGTATGCTAGGTGGACAAATTCCTTCAATGGAAGTATCTGAAGGTTTTATATGGACTAGAGCCAACAGTTTTGAAGGGAAGCAATTCAAAGTTAGCAACCACTGAGCAACAGAGGCATAAATTAAAAAAAAAATTCTTATTTTGCAAGTGTAATTAATGCTCTTATTATATACATGTACATGTAAGGAACTGTTTTTTCACTTTTTTATCAACTTACATCTTTGAAGAATAGTAGCTTTGCTTAGTTTGGAAGGACCTAGGGTATCTGTCTGCGTGCATGTTGGCACAATACCCTGTAGCTCATCATAACCACGCTGAAAATTTAATGAAATTTTTTCTTTACATCCACATGTCTTGTCATTGAATGATATGATCAAGTAGGATCATTTTTACAACATAATTTATATAAATTATAATACAGTGTAACTTCCGAATTCCGGAACTTCTAAAATCCGGAAACTTCTGAGATCCGAACATTTTTCAGGGTCCCGAAATTTCTCCTTCTGTTTTCTATGTAATAAATACCTCTGAATAACGGAACTTCTAAATTCTGAATTCCGAATGATTTTCTGGTAAAGTTTTGGGTATATCAATTCAAATTTACTTCCAAAATCCAGAAATTGGAAAAGGTGTGAAAGAATATTATATTTGAGATTATTATATTTGAGATTGTAAAACCTTTAAAATGTCAGTATATTCCAATTAGCAGAAACTATTTATATTGACACCTATTAGAATAACAAACTGTCAAGCATGTCAAAACATGGTTTAAGTGTGAACATTTAGTAACTGAAAAGTATAATTTGATAACAAACAAGAGGGCCATGATGGCCCTGAAGTCACTCACCTGTATATAGGCCCCTGGAACGGGGCCAGTTTAAACCCCAGGGCTTTTATTTGAACAGACTTAGTAGACACCCATTAGAAGATGTTTCATGCTAAACATCTAAGGTCTAGCTCGTTGGGTTTTTTAAAGGAAGATTTTTTCAAGTTTTTTCTTTACACATATAGATAAAAACAATGACACACCTGGGGCAGGGCCAGTTTTGACCCCAGGACTTTTATTTGAACAATCTTTGTAGACACTTACTAGAAAATGTTTCATGCTTAATATCTAAACTCTAGCTATTCGGGTTTTTTCAAAGAAGATTTTTAAGTTTTTGCTATTATAATACACATATAAGGAAAATCAATGTCCCCCGAGATGGGGCCAATTTTGATCTCAGGGCTTTTATTTGAACAAACTTTGTAGACACTCACTAGAAGATGCTTTGTGCTTAATATCTTAACTCTAGCTATTTGTTTTTTTTTCAAAAAAGATTTTTTAAGTTTTTGCTATACACATATAATTTTGACCCCAGGGCTCATATTTGAACAAACTTGGTAGACACCCATTAGAAGATGTTTCATGCTAAATATTTAAGCTCTAGCTCTTTGGGTTCTTTAAAAGAAGATTTTTTAAGATTTACTATATGCATATAGGGAAAATCAATGACCCCCTGGGGCGGGGCCAATTTTGACCCAAGGGCTTTTATTTGAACAAACTTGGTAGACACTCACTAGAAGATGTTTCATGCCAAATATCTAAGCTCTAGCTCTTTGGGTTCTTTAAAAGAAGATTTTTTAAGTTTTTACTATATGCATATAGGGAAAATCAATGACCCCCTGGGGCGGGGCCAATTTTGACCCCAGGGCTTTTATTTGAACAAACTTGGTAGACACTCATTAGAAGATCTTTCATGCCAAATATCTAAGCTCTAGCTCTTTGGGTTCTTTAAAAGAAGATTTTTTAAGTTTTTACTATATGCATATAGGGTCTGGGAAAATCAATGACCCCCCAGGGGCGGGCCAATTTTGACCCCAGGGCTTTTATTTGAACAAACTTGGTAGACACTCATTAGAAGATGTTTCATGGCAAATATCTAAGCTCTAGCTTTTTGGGTTCTTTAAAAGAAGATATTTAAAGTTTTTTCTTTCGGTTGCCATGGCAACCAGAGTTCTGCATGGAATTAAATTCTTTGAACAATTTTAAAAGGTGACCACCAAAGGAACATTCCTGTGAAGTTTGGGTGAAATTGGCTTAGTGGTTTATGAGGAGATGTCATTTGAAGCAAAAGTTTACGGACGGACGCCGGACGCAAAAGCGATCACAAAAGCTCACCCTGTCACTTTGTGACAGGTGAGCTAAAAATACAGGTTAATAGCTGGTATTACATGAAATATATTAAATAATTAACATTATGCTTAAGTATCAAAAAACTCAGTTATAGGTTATAAGGATTTTAATATAGTTTAAGTTATAAACTTTTTAAAGGTCCTATAATTTTGCCATTTTATGAATTTAATCTGCTTCATATATTTGTCCTTGTTAAACAATTGATGACTAATGTTTCTACTTGTTCAGATAATTCCAAACTTCTGAATTACGGAAACTTCCAAATTCCGAACTTTTTGTCAAGTCCCACAGGTGTACGTTTTCAGAAGTTACACTGTAGTATAAATAATAATAAATTGTTTACACTAATGTTTCTGAAACAGTCTCTTACAGTCTTGTAAATTAAGAAAATTAATAAACAAAAATACATGTTTCAAATTTTACTTGGTTAACACACATTTATTTACCATATTAAGTTTTTTTTAATGCATTCATTTCATTACAGAAGAATTAACTTAATAAATAGTTAGTTTTAAACATGGTGGATTTTTATGAATTTACATAAAAACATCAAAACTATTCTTTCAGCACACAGTTAGGACATCCAAGAGAATGTGTATACATGTTCTATAGTACCTACTCTTTCCTTACATGAATCTACATCAACAGCAATATATATCTACATGTACTTTTCACAGATACATGCACAGTGCATTAATTTGAGTGCAGGTATTAATTACCCGCACTCAAGAGCATGCCCATTGATTGGCTCATTTTTTCTGGGGACAGCATTGAAAGGGAAAGTGATAGAAATATCATATTCAGATGCTCATTAATTGAGTTTCATATTGTGACAACAGGGAACATGTTTTTATGTTTGACTATGATACAAAAGAGAAAGAATATCAAAACACTTGGCAATAGCTTTGTGTTTTGATGCTGTTTCTATTACTGATACCTTGATGGCGTCTCTACGTTTCTGTTAGC